AGGAACTAGATGTAATAGGCACATCCTTGTGCTCTCTCCTCCTCAGTAGTAAACATGTCAAAACAGAGTTAATGCAAGCGAACTCTAAATGCCCCCAGTCAGAAACCCATGACATTCCTGTGTGAAGTCCTTTCGCCCTCCAGCAGGGTTGTTTTGAATCATAATATTGACATTGAGATAATCATAGCATTTATATATTTTGTTCAATTTAAAATTCCAAATCTGTGAAAAAAAATACATCAAATTGTCAGCAAATAGGGCATTGATCTGGATGAAATTTGATGCTCAAATACTTAAAGCACATGAACTTTCCTGAGATAATTTTGCTGAAAATTACTTAAATTACTTATGATTTCTGTCTGGATCTAAAACAGCCATGTGGTTTAATTGTCAATGTGAAACACAAGGACTTTTCCTTCCCCGTTCAACTTAACTTTCATATTAATAAGCTTTGAAAACAACTACTTAAATCCCACCATGAGAAATTCTCAGCCTAAGGGGATGTCTTAAAATTGCTCCAACTAGCCAATGGGACTCGAGGGGAACTTCTTAGGGGACCGCAGGGAACGTTTTCTTTTTGAAGAGACACACTCGGGAGGAAGCGGCCCCTCTCTCGCTGCCTCTTCTCATCTGTGAGAGGAAGCCTGGAGTTGCTGCCTGGGACTTCTGCAAGCGGGGAATGGACCTCCGAGAGCGAAGAATCCTAGAGACCCTGCTAGGTCACTAGACGAACTAGGGTTTACTGACCACAGAGCCACCAGCGTCGGCTTCCTGTTATGTGAAATAATACAGCCTTGCTCACTGCTTTAAAAAAAAAAAAAGTAATTCAAGAGTGATTACATAGTCAAGAATATAAGTAACTTAAAATTTTAAGCTAAGGTTAAATTAAGGTTATTTATACCTCAATCATCGTCTAATATAAATTATGTCCTGCAGGGGCGGTGGTGGCGCACGCCTTTAATCCCAGCACTCGGGAGGCAGAGGCAGGCGGATCTCTGTGAGTTCGAGACCAGCCTGGTCTACAAGAGCTAGTTCCAGGACAGGCTCCAAAACCACAGAGAAACCCTGTCTCNAAAAAAAAAAAAAAAAAAAAAAAAAAAAAAAAAAAAAAAAAAAATTATGTCCTGCAATTAACATCCCATTAAACCTCCAGTGAGTTACAATAACGAATTAATGACTCTTTTCTCAAATCTTGCCAGTTTCCCTTTGAAAGGACAATAAGCATGCTGTTCTCAGAAGTCTCCAAGGGAAAATGGAATGATTGACAAGGCCCATGGTAACTGAAAGGAGCAGTTAACTGGAGGGCATAAGACTGCAATTACAGCTGCGTAGGAAGTGAGCTCCAATATCCTCCGCGTGTAGATTTACACACTTGTTGCCTTATGCTATGCATGTATGTCAGAGAAGCCTGTGCCTGCCTCCCAGAGGGCGTCAGGCTTTGGGAGCACCCTCTCCCGAGAACATGGAAACTTGGCTCACTGGCGAGGAACACACCCTGCCCGTCTACTTGTCAGCCACACGGGGCACAAAAGCAAACAGCAAGCACAGTTTGCAAGGACAGCAAACAGCGAAGCTGCTGAGATCGCTCAGGCAGTAAGATGGTAAAAGTCACTGCAAACCTGGCGATATGAGTTCAATCCCATGAGTCACGTAAAGGTGAAAAGGAGAACTTCCGACTTCCTCCAATTGTCCCCTACTGCCACACACACACACACACACACAGCACGGCACAGCACGCGCGCACACACTAATGCTACTAGTAATTTTTTAAAATTGTAGGAAGAAGAAAAGCAAGGGTCTTCTGCTCCACGAGTCATCCGTTTAGAATGATTCATGAATCTTGCTGCTCTCAGTTTGAACATTTCACATGTAGGCTCCTTTTGCGTTCTCGGTAACAGCTCTGTCAATTCCTGTTCCGCTTTCAAACTCAACCTGGCTGAAACATTTTTGTTCCCCGATATTAAGTCCCTCTGCCGATGCAATAAATCAGATCACGCTGAGTTAAAGTCCAGGTTTTAATCTCAGCAAAGCATTTCTAACTGGTCCCAGAGGAAGCGAAGAAACCAGAAGGGCGAACCACGAGGGGAAATCTGTGGGCCAGACCTTAAACCCTCTGCAGGTGGGGTCTCTGTTTGGTTGGCTTTCTTTGGAGGGGTCCGGAGAGGGCAGCTCCAAGGGAGGGGCCAACGCTTCGTACACCCCCCAACACCGACTACCAAATACTTCTGGTTCTTTGCATTGGTGTGAAATGCATTGAACTTCCATTGGTGTGGGATCCCCTGGAACTGGAGTTACAGACAGCTATAACTGTGAGCTGTCATGTGGGTGCTGGGAATTGAACCCATGTCCTCTGGAAGAGCAGTCTGTGTTCTTAACCACGGAGCCATCTCTCTCGTCTCCTGGTTCTTTTCTTATATTGGGCTTATTAGAATGTGATCTAAGTGGATTCCCTTTTCCTCAGTAGAAGAATATTAAGACAACTAAGTGAGACAAATTTTGCAAATCCCAGGACGTGGAGACGCTGACGGGCACGAGAGACAGGGCACACTCAGATTGAAGGCATCCTGCCTCACCTCTTCCCGTCCAAGTCACCTGGCACACTGACCGATCGTCCTGAAATATCCTTGGTGTAAAATTGCTGCTAAAACAACAACAGCAAAAGTTGGATGTAGTCCTGGTTTTATCCTAAGCATTGCGAATAATAAAGTAAACAAACAGCAAGACTGATTGGCTTAAACTAACCAACAGTAACACTGATTGGTCCCAAAATAAACGAGCGGCAAAACTGATTGGTCCCAGCTCTACAGCCCGGCCTGCTTCTGACCCAGACTCCTCAGGTCTCAGGGCCAGGCAAGTCTGTAAATCTCAAGTTGTGTCTGCTGCCCTGTTGATTTGCGTTTACTATGAAGTTGAAAGATAACTGCACTTACGCTTTTGTTTTGTTGTGTTTTTAACTACATTTTTTTCATGTTTTGAATCTTCTGGTTTTGCTTTTTATAAACCACAAAATTCAGGGGTTTTGCCAAATTTTTCATAGAGTATTTTTATTTTTCAAAATTGATTTGTGGGATTTCTTTATATTCCTTACTCTGAATAGTAATCATCAACGAACAGTTAAGGCTTTGTAAATGGCCTCTCCTCATCTCTGCTATTGTTCAGGATATTCGGGGAGTCTTGAGTTGCTGGGAAAGCGATGCTCTTCTCTCAGCATCCAGACAGCTCCACGCTTCTCTGAAAGGTTTCTGACAGCCTTCCAACCTCACGCTTGTTGTTTTGTTTTGTTTGAGACCACGTCTCCCCCTGTAGCCTTGACTGGCCTGTAACTCACTCCACAGACCAGACTAACCTTGAAGTAGAGATCCACACTCTCTGCCTCCACAGTGCTGGGATTAAAGTCGCACACTGTCAGCATCCAACTCTTGCTGCCTCATTCTAGACTCTAATTTCCAAGTTGAGAATGACAGGTCACTTATTCCCAGAGTCTCTGTGAGGATGAAATGAACTCACCCATGAAGGAGCTGCCCATATCCCTGCCACCCATCCTTTGGAAGCGATATGTCTACTTAGGAGTTAACATATGTGAGAAGGTGAAGTCCTTTTGGATCTGTCTTAGTAGCTGCTCAAAGAATTCTTAGTCTATGACAAACAATGAAAATAACTACATGGCCGGGCGGTGGTGGCGCACACCCTTAATCCCAGCACTCGGGAGGCAGAGGCAGGCGGTTCTCTGTGAGTTCGAGACCAGCCTGGTCTACAAGAGCTAGTTCCAGGACAGGCTCCAAAACCACAGAGAAACCTGTCTCGAAAAACCAAAAAAAAAAAAACAAAACAAAACAAAAAAAAACCTACATGGTCTAAAAAAATTGTAGATGGCCAATGGTTGATGAATAAACACACTGGATGGTGGCTAGTTCTGTGTGCGTGCGTATGCATTTGTGTGTGTATGCATGTGTGTGTGTGCACACACACGGTAACTCAATCAAGGTATGAAATTGGAAATTGAGGAGAATAAGGGCATATATTGATGAATGTGACTATTACTGTAGGGAGTCTAAACACAGAATTGCTGAGTCAGCACGGGTCCAAGGTACGTGTTGAGAGTCACTGCTGAACCATACATAAGGCAAGTCATATTCCAGTCACCTGCAGTTCTCATCTCTGCACTCACGGAGCAGAGTAGAGAGCTTTTGTTTGCGCTATCCTGGCAGGGGAAATACGTCAAACTGATGCTTTTTACTGTTGTTACTGGGGATTTAGGCTGAGAAAGTCTCACTGTGAACCCTGGCTGTCCTTGACCTCTTGACCTCCTGCTTCCACCTCACAAGAGCTGGGTTGTCAGCCTGTTTCCCCGCCCCCAGCTCTGTTGTCTTTTACATTTTTCCCGACATAATATTTTTATTGATTATGTGGGAATTTCACAGCATCCAGACAAATCACAATCACTTCCCAGTCCTCCCAGGTCCACCCTTGTGAGCCCCCATCCCTGTTTTAAAAAAAGAAGAAATGAAGAAAAAGTCCATATAATCACTGGAGTGTGGTCAGGCCCTCATTGGTCAGTCCCTTACAGAAAACTGAGTCCTTCCTCTCCAGCACCCCCACCAGAAGCCATCAAATTGTGGAGAGCTACAGACACTTCAGCATCCTTATCAGAGAGTTCTCTTTGAGGGCTGGAGAGATGGCTCAGAGATTGGTAGCCCTGGCTGCTCTTCCAGAGGTCCTGCGTTTACTTCCCAGCAACCACATGGCTCACAACCATCTGTAATGAGATCTGGCGTCCTCTTCTGGTGTGCAGGCATACATGCAGACAAAGCACCTATAGACATAATAAATAAATAAATCTTTTTTTAAAAAAAAAAGAGTTCTCTTTGATGGCTTCCTTTTTAGGCGGTTACTTTGGGGAGGGTTAGGGTGGAGGAAGTGGTTGTCACAGAAGCCTACGTCCCCTTTTCTTAATTGTGCACCTGCAGTCATCAATACCACTGCAAAGGGGGCGTCTTTACCTTTTACAGTCAGCAGGAGCACGGTGCCTGGACTTCTACATAGTATCTGGCTACACCGCACACCACGAACATCCACGTGGTCTCCAGCATGGCTTCCCGGGGAAGTACAGGACATGCAGGATTTTCAAGGAGGTCCAATCAGGTAAACTGGTCCGAGTCCGCACAAGTTCCAGGCCACTGCACCCTACCTACCGATCCCACTAGACGATGCTCCGATGCTCCGTTACTCCATCAGCCGCAGCCTTCTCTCACACCCGGCACCAGCTGTCGTGTTTCCAGTTCTGCCTCTTTCCACCTGCACTGCTCCGTTCTACACTTCCCACCTCCCCATCACGTATCCGTGCGTCATAGTGGCGTTGGTAGCCGCAGCGGGTCGCACACTGTGTACAAAGCCGTTTGTCTGGTTCGATGTTTCTGGTTTCTGACACACCATCGATACTGGAACATTGTGAGACTCCACTCGGAAATTCTGCTACCCAGTTGGTCAGCCTGGGTCCCGCCTGCCCTCCTGACACCAGGGCTTCTCTGTGTAGCTCTGGTTGTCCTGTAGACCAGCCTGGCCTTGAACTCATAGATCCACCCACCCCTGGCTCCCAAGTGCTGGGATCAAAGGCGTGCACCACCACTGCCCAGCTTGTCTTTTACGTGTTTATTTCTTTATTTTAAGTGTTTTTATGTAACTATCCAGAAAAATGTTAGCTATTTGATTTCTTCCCACAAAATATTAGCTGTCTGATCTTTGTGAATGGCTTCTTCATATCATCTGTGGAATTTTTGTACTCATTCATTTTTTTTAACACTAGGATGGGTTCGTATAAAGGAAACAACTCTTTTATTTGTCGCTTTTTTTCTGATTTCCTTCCAGCTCTTTGGACTTTGATCTTTATTTGCTTGTTTTAGAGATGAGTTTGACTATGTTACTACACCTGACCTTGGATCTGTGGGATTTAAGGGGCTCCTGCTGCAGCCTTCCCGAAGCCAATATTATGTAGCTGCTGCCACAGCTGAGAGTCTTTGTGTGGTGAATTTATTTTTGAGTCAGAATTACACATCTCTTCTTCACACAGTGCCTTGCAGTTCTGTTTATGTGCGCACGCTTGTTGGGGATGCTAAGGTACTTATGCCCACAAAGTGTTAGGAAACCAGGAATGCTAAACACAGCACAGTGGTCTCTCTTCAAAGGAAAAATTACCTGTTTTCTGCCCACAAGGTTGGGAGTAGGTATTGTTAACAGCCTGGTGACCTGTGTTAGGTTGGGAGCATAGGTCCCAATCCCTCACATCTATCCCAGTCCCCAGGCCTGGTCTGGACTTCAAATCCCAGCAGCCCTGGGGGTGGGGTCAGGATCACTCCCCAGGGTACTTAAGTGACACCCCCCCCCTGCCAAAAGAAGAACACGTGGTCTCCCTTTCTTCCTCCCGGGGGTCATGTTCCTACGGCTTCCCCCGGTTTCCCCCTCGGGGCCACCGGAGAGCACAGATCTCCCATTAAACATGGATATTTCTTAATTTGGCTTGTTTTGATTTGGCTTGATTGGGAATTTTTGCATTGTCAGAGAGCTCGCTTAGGAAATATTCCTAACAAAGAGGTGTGGGTTTGCTGGAGTAGGTGTGGCCCTGTTGTAGGAAGTGTCGCTGTGGGTGGGCTTTGAGGTCTCCTGTGCTCAAGCTATGCTCAGTGTGGACACAGTTGCTGCCTGTGGATTAAGATGTAGAACTCTCAGCCCCTTCTCCGGCACCACATCTGCCTGCTTGCTCCATGTTCCATCATGATAATGGACCAAACCTCTGGAACTATGAGGCACCCAATTAAATGTTTTCCTTCATAAGAGTTGCCACGGTCATTGTGTCTCCTCGCAACAACAGAAACCCAAACTAAGACATTCCTCTTCTCAAGTTTTGGCACGCTGACCTGCAGCTTGCACCTGCTAGACAAGCCCCCCAGATGTGTTTTTCAGTATCTGCAACCTGGGTACCATTCTCTGCCTTCCACTAAATCTAGGGTTTCTAGGTCTGGTCAGGGTAGCTCTGGTCCCCACCTCTTCCCTGTTCTACACAAGGCAATGGCAGCATAGACTAGCATCTCACTGCTGCCTCTCCCTTCCAAGGCTTTGACCTGTTTTACCTTCCCCATCTCTCTATGGTTTAATTCCACCTTGAGCCTTGGCCTTCCTTTCTTCCTCCCTTCCTCCTTCGCTCCTCTTCTTTTTCCCTCCCTTCCTCCCTCCCTCCCTCCCTCCCTCCTATCTTCCTTCCTCCCTTCTTTTCTCCCTTCCTCACTCATTCCTTGCCTTCTTTCCTTTACCTCCTTCCTGCCTTCTCTCCCTCTTTCCTGCCGTGTGTATTGCATATGTGCACATAAATACATGCGTGTTTGAGTGCAAGCGTGATGGGGTCTCAGAAGACAACCTTGAAGGTCGGTCCCCACCCTTCCACCTATTTGATAAACGTCTCCATCTCGACTGGCTCAATGTCAGTTTGTCACACAATAGAATTGCCTTAGTAGGGCTCCACATCAAAGAACTGTCTTGATTGTATGAGTTGACGAGAGAAGACCCACCCTGACATTGGTGGCAATTTCTGGTGGCTTTCTAGATAAACAAGGGTATGGTGAAGGTAGATCGCTCACCTTTTGTTTTCTTGCCCTTCCTGCACGTTTCCAGCTGGCTCACCTTGCTTTCGTCCTTCACGGATGTCAGGGCCAGCTCTTCTAATCGTCCATCATGGACTAATGACAGGTGGTTCTCCAGGAAGCTTCCCGGATGAGACTGCTCAGGTCCCTATCCTTGTGGACTGAGCAACTACCTGCTTCTCAGACTCTCAGGTGTGAGACACCTGTCATTGCTATTTTAATGCAAGCTGACTTTATATATTCTTTTTTAGTTTTAATTTTATTTATTTATTTATTTATTTATTTATTTATTTATTTATGGTTTTTCGAGACAGGGTTTCTCTGTAGCTTGGGAGCCTGTCCTGGAAATAGCTCTTGTAGACCAGGCTGGCCTCGAACTCACAGAGATCCACCTGCCTCTGCCTCCCGAGTGCTGGGATTAAAGGCGCGCGCCACCACCGCCCGGCCAATTTTAATTATATTTTATGTGTATGAATGTTTTGCCTGCATGTATATCTGTATATCATGCATGTGTCTGGTGCCTGCAGAGGCCAGAAGAGGACACTGTTTACTCTGGAACTGGAGTTACAGATGGTTGTGAGCCACCATGTGGGTGCTGGGAATCAAACTCTGGTCCTCTGGAAGAGTATTCAGTGCTTTTAACTGCTGGGCCATCTCTCCAGTCTCAATAAATTTGTCATGTATATTCACCCCATTAGTTCTGTTCCTTTAGGGAACCCTAATGTTGGGTTTCTAATTGTTCATTACTGTGTACATCCTTCAGTATCCAGAGATTCTCCCATCTCAGCTTCACCAGCACTTTATCCCCTGAGCCACCACTCCTGTCCATCTTGGCTCTTATACACAGAAGGCAACTTTGGGGACTTAGAAGTCAATTCCCTCCCTACTAAAGTTCAAAAGTCTATTTTGTTGCATATTCTTAAATTTGTATTTTCTTCCTTCCTCCTCCCTCCCTCCCTCCGTCCCTTCCTCCCTCCCTCCCTTCCTCCCTCCCTCCCTCCCTCCCTCCCTCCTTCCCTCCCTCCCTCTTTCGTTTCTTTTCTTCCCCAGACAAGTCTGTGTTGCGTTAAAGTTCTATATCCTCACTTACTCTAGACTCTGGGTGGACCGAGAGGACCATGTGTCACTGGTACTTGTTTGTAGGCAGATGCTTCTTTCCCATAGCCGCTCTCAATCACACAGAGGCTTATTATTAATTACAAATGCCCAGTTAGCTCAGTTGATACGGCAGAGCATGAGATCTTTAATCTAAGGGTCGTGAGTTCGAGTCCCATGTTGAGCACCAGCTGAAACCTTAACTAATTATTCATTATCAAAAAAATTAGGAGTCGGATATGGGGTAAGAACCTGAAGATCAGAGAAGCAGGGTAGCAGACATAGGGACTTCCTACCTCTTCCATTCCTTCCTCCAAAAATGTCTGAGATCCTCTCTCAGCCACGCCTTCCTGCTTCCTGTCTCCTATCTGTCTACAGTCCTCCAAACATCTATGGTTAATTTTGGTCAGCTATTGGCTAGCTCCACCCTTCGACTCCAAGCAAACTTTACTTGTCAAAACACAAGTATCAGTTAAAATATCACCCAACACTTGTTTTGTAGACCAGGCTGGCTATGCACTCAGAGATTCACCTGCTTCTGCCTCTCAAGCACTGGGACCAAATGCATGGACTACCACACCCAGCTTGAAGTTTGCGTTTTTTCAAGGTAGGCCATGACTGCATATTCTAGAAGGAATCCGTCCTTAAAGGCCTTCAGTTAAGAGGAAGGTAGATTAACTAGGTAGTCAGAGATAATGTAATTAGAAGTCAGCTATCCCCTCCACAGCAAACTGCTGTCGGCCTCAAAGCTGTCCACACACAGGTACTCTTCTAGGTCCTTTTCTAGAACCAGTTTTGTCTTTCCTCTCTTTCCCTCCTTCAGGGATCCAGAGTGACGGCTCCAGCCACTGCCCAATGCTGCAGGATGAAGAAGACCCTAATCCAAGCAAGATCTGCATCCCTCGTGGCTACAGGTCTGGCTGGGGAGGTTAAGGGAAGAGAAAGACCATTGTTTACTGAGCAAGTCCGTGTTGGGTTAAGGTGTGTCCATTACCCTCCTCACCTACCCTAGACTTTGGGTGGATGGAGGAGGGGAGCGTGTGTCACTGGGTGGTAACGCTTTCTGGCTCTCTCAGGCTAGGTGTGGCCTGAAGCCATCACCTTTGGAGTCTTATTTTGGTCTGCCTCATGTGTTTCCCCTCCAAATGCAAGCACACCTGTAGCCTGACTGGCAGGAGCTCCCCACCATTTGCCTTCCCTTGGCACTCCTGTCCCTGATGTTGTCTGTGGATTTTCACTTAGCTGTTATCTGATGTCACGTGACTCCAGCACCTGGTTTACAGCAGCGAAGTTACAAATGTGCAGACTGGAAATAATCTTTGCCAAGTTTAAAAATTTTAACTTCATTAATTTTTTGGTTTCCCATGATTTGTTGACTTGTCTACACAGAAAATTCAGATGTCTTATTTTTATTTTATTTTATATATAAGCATATATTTTATATATGAAATATATAGCTTATATATTTTTAAAAATTAAAATGAGTGATTTGGGCATTTATTGGAAAACTAAAATGTTTGAAATTGGCTTCCATGAAGTTCTCACTGTTTGCAATGGGCCCTGTGTCCTATGGCCGGACACAAGGAGGGAAGTGGGATGGCTCATCTCCAGAACATTCGTGGTCCCCAGAGGGCAGATGTGTGTGAATCACGTCCATATGCACAGGAAATGATTATTGACATGATCCCTAAGCATAATACTCGAGATTATTCTCCAGCTTGTAAAATGTTATGGCATAACTTATTATGAAGCATCTGAGTGACCGATGTGTCTTTCGGTGAACTGGTTTCTCTGATGAGTTGAAACCAAGACTGTGTAAACATAGGAAGGGGAACCCTTCTGGGTTTATGTAGTCAGGCACGGATGTTCCCAGCCGCACTGCCTTGCCAGCTGTGTGGTGCACTCAGCCTGCAGGGAGGAAATCTACGGGATTTGAGAATTATACAGTCTCTTAGTAAAACAGCCACACGTAAGACCACCAGCTATCACTGGTACAAGTACACAGTCATTTCTCGGAGCTATACAATTTTATAATATTCCTCTCGAGTTCTTTTAAAAATTTGGAACCTTAGTCGTTTGGTATTTTTTAAGTTACAGGAACAAAGAAAAAAATAAAAACTGCAAAGTGTGCTGCTTCGAGAAAAGACCACAACATTATAGCGCTAGTGTGGCTGTTGTCTGCGAGGCCTGTTGGAAACCCTCCAGCAATGACCTTAAGAAAACAAGAACTATTACCAGATTAGAGCAGAATCGACTGTTTCAGATAAAGTGTATGGTCGATATGATTTGGGATAACACATAGAAAAACACATTTTGGCAAAGCCACCTCCCCAGACAGCTAATATATAGCTTTGGATCAGCAGCCATCTGACGGATAATTTTTTGCCCACGACGACGATGAGCAACAAGACAGTTGTAGAGACAGGCAGCAAACAGCACGTCGTATCGGGATGACAAATCTGATCCTCCAGTTGGTGAGGGATGCACGTGGCCACTGCAGAGCAATTTTACCTGGGACCCTTCCTCAGAAAGGCTCCAAGAGGCACAGAAGCCTACGGGGGAAAAAGATTAAGTAACTTACGACCTGAATTGTCTGCTCGGCTCCCTAAAATTCATCTAATGCCTGAATACTTTCTTTTTAAATGAAAATAAATGGTTCCTTTCATGAATATAAAATGAGGGCTTCGAGAAAAAGAAACTGAATAATTTAAACTAAGAAACAATTTCAACTAAAATAATTAGCTGTGCATTTCAATTGGAAATTATTTTTACAGTTTCTTTATTTTTTGTTTTGTGTTGTTTTTCAGCTTTGTCTTTGGTTTGTTCGTTTGTTTTGAGACTGGGTTTGTGTGTGTGTGTGTGTGTGTGTGTGTGTGTGTAACAGCTTTGGCTGTCCTGGAACTCGTTCTGTAGACCAGGCTGGCCTCGAATTCACAGAGATCCTCTTGCTTCTGTCTCCCCAAGTGCTGGGATTAAAGGCGGGTGCTACCACATCTGGCTCTCTTATGGTTGTTTCAACCAATAAGAAAGTCACTGTTCAAGTTAACACTAGCTCCAGATTGCTATGTTTAGGTTTTGTTTTGTAAAAATATTTGTTTGCATTATAAAAAAACCACACAGCTATTCTTTGCTCTCAAGTACTATGAACAAGAGAATAATAGTCTCTTTACTTGACATGAGTGAGCTGAGGCGCAACTGAACTTTCTTTTCTTTCTATCGCTGTTTTAAACAAGTGTGCGCAGATATTGCCCTATTTTGAATGTGAACTCTCCTGCATTGGCTCTTAAGGGAGGTTGTGGATCCAAGACTTAGCTGGTCTTTGAGGGTGGGTCTTGAAGATTTTATATATAACCTGGCTGCATGCAGCCTGTGCTTTCTGCTTCGTTTGCAGCCTGGATGTGAAAAGCTGCCTCAAGTTCCAGCCCCCATAACCAGGAACCAGGTGGGTCACACGCCATTCCCTATGACCGTGGACCAATAGAAACACTCTTTCTCTTACGTGCTCCTGTCAGACAGTCGGTGACAGAGATGAGAATATTAAGGGGCACATACACTTTTTAACGTAGCTTTATTGGTGATTAGTCCACATACAACGAACTGTAATGCAGTTCAGGAAAAATAAAATAAAAATAGTTCTCTTGTTGAAAAAAAAAACCTAGTTGTCTTTCTGAAATGGCATTTTTCTGCCTCCAAATTATCATCATAATGAAATTTTAAATTGGGAATTCCAGTGGGAAGGCTGCGTGAAGTGAAAAAATTTAACTGAGGATTTTCTTTCGCAGATTATGGGGTAACACTTGACCCAAATATATCAGTCCTTGTCTTATGCATCGCATGGAGGCTATCATGGTGAAGACATGAACACTGAAGAACTGTCTATCCTCAGGAAGATTCTTCACGTGCCATGTTCAAGTTGTACAAAGACAAGTGCAAATTTAACAGACTAATTTTCAAATTTTATCTTAATAATGCTCATTATTCCACATCATAAATTAAAGCAGCCTGCCCTTTTGAACTTCTGGTTGGAAAGATTGAACTTCTTCGAGGTTTTCTAATCTTTCTAAAGCTGTTAGCACACTGAACATTTTGATAAAGCTTTATGAAATACACATTTATAAGCAGGCAAATGGAAGTTGTAGCATGAATTCTATTGGTTTTAATAGTAGAAACTTGGAATCAGCTATTAAAGGGTGAAAGTTAAAGGATCAGAGAAGCAGAGTGGCCAGCCACGGGAGAGTTCTTACCACTACCTATGCTCAGACCAAACGGCGGGCCTTCCTGTCCCTCCAAATCCTCAGACTGCATCCTCAGACCGCATCCTCAGACCGCATCCTCAGACCGCATCCTTAGACCGCATCCTCAGACCGCATCCTCAGACTGCCCTGATCTCCTGTTTCTTCCCCCTTACATTCCTCTCTCCACCCAGCCATATCACTCCTGTCTCCACCTCCCTAGTACCGGAAGTAAATGCATGTGATCCTAAGTGCTGGGACCACCTTTGTGTGAGCTCTGTTTCTCTTGTAGAGAGATTCAATGTCGTATAGCCCAGGGTGGTCTTGAACTCACAGAGATCCATCTGCTTCTGTCTCCCAAATGCTGGGATTAAAGGTGTGTGCCACCACTGCCTGGCCCCTACAGCTAACCAGTGGCTTAGCTCTACACTCTGATCTTTAGACAAGCTTTGTTTGTTATAGCATAAACAAAATATCACTACAGGAAACGAGTTATTACATCAACGATTCTATTTATTAAAGGTTCTATTTAATAGGACGATTTAGAGAAGTAATAATTTGCACTTTTTTTTTTTTTGAGGCAGCGTGACAGCTCTGGCTATCCTGGAACCAGCTCTGGAGAGCAGGCTGGGCAAGGAGCGTCACGATAGGAGAAAGAATAGTAACAGTGGTGTCATGGCAGGAGGCAGAATGGCCACAGTGGGTCAACCACTTTCTGCTGCAAAGAGTTAAAATTATGAAGACAGCCCAGGCTTGAGAGGATGAGCCCAGATGCAGACCACAGGGAGTACCGACACAGGAGGGGTAGGAGCGTTGTGAGCTGGGAGGCCATGAGAGAAAGGCCACACTACCCAGTTTGTTCTAAGCCACTCTTGCTGTGAAGACAATAAACCACGAGGCTATAATTCACTACAAACAAAAAGAAATTCTAATTCCATTCCTTATGATAAAAACTATGCTTCCATCTTCTATACCAATAAAGTGGCAGTAAATGGCTGAGTCAAATCATATTTTACTTCTTTTCCTTAATGTTAAGTGAGTGGGTGGATGTAGTCACAAAACTTAGGTGCACAAGCCATTGTGTTACACACTAACGTGCAGAAAGCAAAACGACGTGTAGACATCCAAAGGGAAATGTCTCACTAAAATAAATAAAACATACAAACTATTGGATAAAACCAACGTGGGCACACACTGAATCATCCGCAGCAGGCCTGGCTGTCATGTGATTTTAGATTCACTGCTGCAGGCTACAGCAGAACTGAGCTGAAATTAATTGGGATTTGACTGGTATGTAAGTTCAGCCAAGTTCACTAATACGTCTCTTTCCTTGCCAATCTCAAACTGAGTTCAGCAACTTTAAAACTGGGTTCTCAAGAAATGAATGACTTCACAGCTGGAAGGGGGCATCACAAGGCAAGAAGGGGTGAAGAGGACATGTGGGCAAAGGTTGAGGTGAATGTCTCAGAGGTATAGTCCACTCTTGGGGTTCAGTATGTTCCCCAAAACACCTGTGTACTACTCATGGCTCTGGTCGTATGGGAGTTCTCAGAGATTTTTCCAACTTTCTAAAAGCTGTTAGCATATCTAAAAACTTAATTAATATTATACAAACCTATAATGTAAGTCAGTCACATTTCTTAGGTTTTAGAACATTCGTAACGACAAGAAGTAAAAACTAACATCATCAAGAGCAGGACTCAGGTAACTTTCATGGGGTGGTTTCATGTTATTACACTCGTTTGCTTTGTGTGTTGTGTAGTGTGTACAGCATCACGCGAAGGTCAGAGGACAACATTCGAAGTCAGTTCTCTCCACTGTGTAGGCTGTGGAGACGTGGAGACTGATCTCATGACGTCAGGCTTGGGGACGAGCACCTTTACCTGCTAAGCCAACCCAAGCTGATTTTCCAGTAGTCTCTTGCTGAACACAGAAATCTCGGTAGAGTCAGTCAGACAGGCGCTCTCCGGGCCTGTGGTGGTGTGTGGTGCTGGTTCATATGGAGACAGACTCAAGCCTGGGTTTAGCTGTGTCCTTAGCTTCTCTCAAGAGACAGTCGCTGGCGAACACCGGAATCAGTGCTGAGAACGCTACTTCGTGGAAGGCTACATCTGAGCCCGCCTGACTCTCCAGGATGGCAAAGGAGATAAAAAGGGTGACGAACCCTACACCTAGGGACACCTGAAACCCTGTTCATATTGGCATGTACGACTACTGCCTTTCAGGATTGGTAATGAAAGTCAGGTCTTAATATTGACCAACCACTTGAAAGATGGTCACACCCTGTATGGTCACATCCTGTTTCATAAAGAAAACCATTTCTAATATTCCATATACATTTTAAAAAGATTTTATTTATTTATTATGTATATAAGCGTTCTGCCTGCACGGATGCCTGCAGGCCTAAAGAGGGCACCAGATCTCATTACAGATGGTTGTGAGCCACCATGAGGTTACTGAGAATTGAACTCAGAATCTCTGGAAGAACAGCCAGTGCTCTTAACCTCTGAGCCATCTCTCCAGTCCCCATATATATTTCATATTGGGGAAAAAATAACCACATACAGAAGTTACTGCAACAATCTTTAAACACACCCCCCACACACACACACGCACACAGCCCAGGAGGATAAGGATCTTATATACTCTAACTGAAATGGCCAACTCAAAGCACACATTGGCTTTCACAAAAAATTAAATACTAATATAAACACATTTTATTTATTTATTTATTTTTGAGATAGGGTTTCACTGTGTAGCCCTGGCTAGCCTCAAACTTTTTATATAGAGAAGCCTGGCCTTGAACTCACAGAGATCCACCTGCCTCTGCATCCTAGAGTCCTGGGATTATAGACACACAACACCATGTATCTTATTTCTTAAAACTAGAAGGGCTGTATTCCCATCAGTTTTTACAAAAAATGTGGAAGGAAATGTGAGCGTTCTTTGGGTGTACACAATTATATGCCTTTGTGTGGCTTTCATTTTCCTAATAGCTTCTCTCTACTATGCAGCAGTAACAAATGACTAAATAAGCTATATATATATATTTATATAGGGCTGATTATTCCATTCCACATTTATTTAGTTTGACATTCAACTACAGGTTTTAATGTAAACTTCAAAAACAGTATTTGTTATGTCCAATGTAATAAATACATAATTGTTCCAGTCTTTAAAAACAACAGCCACCCTTCTACGAGAGCCCCCAGGAGACAGCCTATGGCTGTGAGGCCGTTGGCATGCTGCTCTGATTCGCCTTTTCTCCAGAGTCAGAATGCTTCAGAAACTGACCAGTAGCGCCGATGTACAATCTCGATCGCATGGGCCACTTCTGAAAAAAAGAGTAAGAATCTGAAATTTAGTCTTAAGACATACAATGTAGGTATATGATATCTAAACTTTAAAACACACTAATGTTAGTGAGGCACTAGTTAGCTGGTAAGAATGCTAATCACAAAGTCTGTGGGACAAGATGAAGACTGTGTAGCAATGGAAGCTACACAAGCAAAGAAGGCTTTGATATAACAGTATAAATAATATACATGCGTGTTTGAGAAGAACTGCAGGAAGTTAAGGAGAGCGAATATTGCTGAGATGTAGAAAGTCTACCACTATTTTAATTCCAAGGTAAGCCTAAGACAAAATTAAGTTTAAAGCACCAGTTCTAAAGAAGCAGCACTCAGTTATATACAAAGTAAACATTCAAGAAAGGTATTGCCCAGAAAGGACTAGGCGGCCCCCGGGCAGCAACGGCTGGCAGCTTCGCAAAGCAGCCCGTTTTCTTTAGTCTGGGTTTCCTGCCTCACGGTGGGTGACTCTAGATGATGGTGATGCACTTTATATCTTCTAATACGCACGAGGAAATGTCTACAAAGATGGACGTGAGATTATTCTGATTATATACATACACACAGACTCTGAAGCCCAGCACTGTATCTCACAAATATGTGAAATTCTCACACGCCAGATGAAAATAAGAATGATGGTAGGGTGGCTGTGTGATATTATCCGGAAAGTCACTTTTCTGTGGCCGCCACGAAAGTTCTATTTCAATTTCTCCAGCTATGATTAGCGAATACAGTCCTGAACGGTTTCTCTCTACTAAGGTATATTTATTTTATTTTCTGCTTGCTTTAAATCGTATGTGTTACAAGTCCATAGGCTTGCATATGAAGTAATATACATCAGCATGGCATCTTCATCTGCGAGCATATATTACTATATTTTCTTCTGTATTCTAAAGTATACTTGAAATTATGTCATTTTGTTTAAACTTTGAAAAATTGAGCAATTAACCGGAACTGAACCTGAAATTGAAGATCTTTAAAAATGCACTTATTCTAATTAAATGAACAACAAGACCCCACAGTTTTTAAGTTCTTGCTCATCGTTACTATGGACAATGGGTTCTCATGGGACCTGGCAATTAGCAGAGTCATCTGTGCGTTTCCCCCTGAGTTAAAGGTCTGGAATACACTCCTGTTCTGGAGAATCGTCCCTCTGGACCCCTAGTGCTGCAAAAGTCCTTTTTTTTTTTAATTTATTTACTTTTATTGTATATGCACTGGTGTAGTGCCTGCAGATATTTCTGTGAAAGTGTGTATCTTGAAGTTACAGTGTTGAGTTGCATGTGGGTGCTGGGATTCGAACCTGGGTTTGAAGAGCAGTCAGTGCCCTTAACCACCGAGCCATCTCTCCAGCCCAGAAGTCTAGTTCTTCAAACTCTCTTCCAGTTTAACGCACAGAACTCACGACCTTGCAAACGCTAACCATGAGTTTCACCCCGACCATGCCTTGATACTCTTAAGTCTCTAATCATTTTAACATGCCCATAATATTGGTAAAAACAATTGCTGATTCAAAGTGACAGACTGGAATATCTGTTTAAATATCTCTAGTAATTTCTGAGTACTTAGTGCTGTGTCTTACAGGAAAACAGTGATTTCAGAACACCCATTCAGGGTTATATATAATAGTTTATTGTGAGGCTTTACTTAACCTGAATTTAAAAATGCTCAGAATATTTTATTACCTTCATATTAAGGACAGACTTAATGTTTAAAATTTTCTACAGTGTCCCTAAAATAGAGGCAGGCAATCTTCAACTAAGTATGTAAAGTTTCTGTCTGTCTTCTGAAACTCCACAGCTTGTGGTTTAGACTACTTTTCTTAATAAATATAATATTCTTTTTTATAGTAATATACTGCAATTTATATTTTTTAGTTCTAAAATGTATTCATTTAGGGAAGGGATTCAGTCTGTCTTACAGTTGTATTCTCTGTCCTAGAGCTGAGATTTAATACACAGTATTAAACCAAATGTTTGATATTAAAACACACCCGTTCCCTGTTAACTATCATCAATTTCATTTTTATGAGATAATCTTTGGCCTTCTAGAATTTTCTCTGGGTTTAGAAATTTAGATATTATGGACATTGATTTTTAAAATCGGACATCAAATTAGATTGATTTTCCGCAAACAGTTGTGTCTATAGAAACGTTTGGCACATGGGTCAGGTATGAGGCTCGCTCTGCCCCTTTCCAGCATGGACTTCTCTAGCGTTTCCCATTCAAGAAAACCGCGGGGGACACTGAGGAGGAAATTTAGAATGAGGAAATACTAGACCTCATTCTAAATTCTATCACCTACAAGGGAGGCATTTGATTTCTCCTTCTGGCCTTGAATCTTAGTGTCTAAATAAACATTGTCGAATACGTGGCAAACAGCAAGTCAAAGAAATCTATTAGTGGGATATTTGAATAGCGTTAGTCTAAAATGATTGTAACACAACATTCTTAATTGTATGAGCGACTTTTCAGTTAGTATGCTATAAAATGTAGGGACAGAATGGGTTCCATCGTTACAAACATTTCACTTTTCCCCACGTACCGTTTGAACTGCCTTCTCTACCGCCGCATCAACAGCGTTTTCACAGAGAGTTTTCTTAGAATGCATTCCGTGATTTAAGTACACATAATGTCAGAGAATGGGTTTATTCAGTTCAACAAAATGTAATTCCTCATTTTTGTTACTCAACAATTTATTCCTCATTTTTGGTACTCAACAATTTATTCAACGCTTAGATGCTTCAGAGTACATTCTAATCGTGTGTATTTGCGTTTGTTTTCAGAACAGTGGGACAGAAACGTGAACATTTGAACTCAGCGAACACAGAGATTCTTCATTTAGAAGCGAAAGGCGGACCAAAGGAAGGTTTCAAAAAAAAAAAAAAATCCAGAAAAGATGATGTAAAAGCTACTATTTGCCACACTCATGACCGACTCACGGAGATGTAAGGAAATCGTGCAAAATGGTTTCTCTTGGCTAATTTGAATACAGACCAATTCACTCAACATACATGCCAATCTAATACGACAGTTACATGAAACATTACGGGGTTTTTCTAACATTGTTGGTAGCCGTCTATTCTATTTAACTGTGATTGAAATTTTACTCTATGGGAATGTAGACTGGTCTCATTTGTTTATTTTTATTTTTTTATTTATTTTTTTACTGATTTTGACAATTTTTGGGGTTTGTTTGCTCGTTTTTGTCCTTTTTTTTTTACAATTACTTAGGGGCAAAGAATTAATTTCACTATCCCATTTAACTCATGAAACCTTTAGAATAGTTCAAGAAAAAGACAATAGGAATGTAATATGGAAGTTAAGACACTTGACTCTTGAACTTAGATGTTACCAGTAGTTAGTATGAATAACAGCTTCCCCATCTGAGCGAAAATCTTTAAAAGGTTGGAGAGATCCAGGAGCCCAGCGAGGATCAAACGACCCAGTTTCCTGACTACAAAACTGTCAAGAACCAGCCTAGTGTATTGGGGACCTTGTCACCATCGCCCGCGGGCCCAGGTGTTTCTGCCTGACAGGGAGGAGTGCCAGCTCCGTGGCATCTGTTTCCGCGGTGACAGGGTAGCTCCCGGGGTTCCACCCCGGGTGTTGCCTACCTTAACTGGGTGCAGATAGCCGTCACCTCGCAAGGCGCCCAGTCTGGGGTCTCCCGGAGCCTCGTTGTCGTCCTGCAGGCTGCGGGTGAGGTGGGCAATGTAGGTGGTGGCTAGCAGCAGCACGTCCAACTTGGACAGCTTGGTGTCGGGCGGCACCGACGGCAGTGTGCGCTGCAGCTCCAGGAAGGCATGCCGCAGGGTCTGCACGCGGCTGCGCTCCCGAGCGGCGTTCGCGGCTGCAGGTCGGCCACCCCCGGAGCGCGCGACGACCCCGCCGGAGCCTGTCTGCCCGGCGCCGGTCCGTCCCGGGCTCGAGTCGCGGGCGGCGGCGGCCGATGGGGCGGGCTCGGCGCTGCGTGGGCTGCTGGCGGGACGGCCGCGCTCCATAGCGGCTCCTGCTCCGGTTCCCGCGGAGAGCACTGCAAGGGAGCGGGGCGGCCGTGAGACCCGGCATCGCGGGCTCGCCCTCGAGTCCCCAGTGCCAGCGGCTGCTGAAGGCGCACAGGGCTCAGCCTCCCGTCCCCGCAGAGACATCCCTCCCGCCCGCCCGCCCACGCGGGGAAATGGTGCTGCGGGGCCCCCGCCTCACCTCGGACTTGCCTCCGCACCTTTCCCCGCCGCGGCCGTGCAGAGCTCCGCTGAGCAGTGCTAGGCGACCAGGGACGTCGAGCAGGTCACTCCATTCCCGTCCAGCTTCTGCTGCCGCCTTTTATGCGGGTGCCCAAAGCCAGCAAGTGGGAGACTCGCACAGTCACGTCGGGCCGAGACGCGCGCCCACCCGAGCCCCTAGGCTAGGGGCGACAGAGTCGCGGAGCCGCCCCCTCGGCGGACAGACTCATCAATCAAACCGCTCGGGGGTGGGGCGGACACCTGGCCCCGCCCCTCTGACCGGGAACCGAGGAGCCGGGTCGCGGCTGGCGGACTCGGGCAGGACCCCTCGGTTTAGTTCTGCTTGGCTTTCCCCTCGAGGAGCATCTCCGCCCGCTGTTTATGCAGCAGAACCCTTCCTCGGGACACCGTGACCCAGAGACCCCGCCATCGCCCCCTTGCTGTCTTCGCACCTGCGCTCAGCTCACCGACTCAGACCGACGTGGGAGAAACCCCGGTTCCCGCGTCTGGGTCCCAGCTCTGCAGCCCGCACCGGCCTTTGCGGGGAAGGGGACCCGGTCCCAGCCGCAGCCCAGTCAGACAGGCTCTAAGCTGGGGGTTCAGAGTATCAGCTATAAACTGTCACAGAGGACACTGCTCACTTATAGATTCTTTAATATTTTCCAGCAGATTTCTGACTTTTCACGTCGGGATTACCAAACTGCACTACTTACACTGCGATGAACCAGACGTGTTGAATTGGTTCATGAACCAGGGTGATTCTTAGGCAGTAGCTTTAAAAAGCACGCCCAGATTCCCTTGATTCAAGGACTCATATGGAATAAGAAACCACACTGTGTATTTCCTGGTAAATTTTATTTAACAACTAATAAAGTAAATAGATCCCGGAATTCACACACGGAAAGTCTCAGATTCAATAAAGAAACAAACAGGAAGGTATACACCGAGATAACCGCTCTACAAACCCTCACGCCACGCTGTTGCCTAGATCTAGGATGAAATCAAATCACGCCAGGCTGAACTGACTCCTTTTCCTCACACAAAAGTTCCTTTACTTTTGGGTTTCGGAGGTGAGGTTCGTGGATATCGCTTTTTGTTACCAAGCTTTCAGACTCCTTCAAGGACATATTCCTGTATTTTCAAACAAAAACAATACACGCAGCATTTAATTGACATTTAATTGACTTGATAGGGAAAAAAAAGACAACAGACATAGAACCCAGGACACACTAACCGTTGGTAAAGGTTCATAGCTAGTCAGGGTTTAAAAGAAAGCAGAAACAGAACATTTCCTGCTTTGAGAACTACATGGAAATAAGGAGGCCGGTTGTGACCATGCAGAAGTGCCTGAAGCTCCCAAAGTTTTGCCTTACATCTCAAGGCCTTGGTCTAGCCTGGCTCATTGCTTTCCTGCTGCCCATGTGTGCCCTAGACAGCAGTGGGACAAAGGGCTGATGTCACAGACCGGACCGCCTAGCCTCGCCGTTTTGTCCCATCTGCACTACTGTAGGCAGTCCAAATTCCCGAAAGAAACTAGTATTTTCAGTCGCTTTAAATATAGGCAAGCCTAAATCTCCACTATCACATAACAAGTAAGCAATGGGAGCCAAATGGCCCTTTTCATTTATTGAGTATTCTTTAGTATCTTCTTCTCATTTCGCCTTTACAAAAACTGAGGATTTTATAGTTTGGAGGATAAGTGTTTTCAGGGATTGGGTAACACGTCCAGTACCATACCTAGTAGATGACTAAGGTGTGGGTCAAACCAAGTAGATTGTCCCTAACGTTTATGGTCTTTGCCATACTATTGAGTGTTTGCATGTTGCAGAACAGTTTGGTGTCTATTATTAAGATGCATATTTTAGATTGATTGACACCTTATTAGCACTCCAAATATATGTTCATAGTATATTTTTCTCTGAAGTTCTTAGTTGTCTAGTTTTCCAAAAGTATGACTTTAGAATGCAGCAAATATTCATTGAGCGTGGTATAAGTCTTAGAATTATTTTTAAGTCTTTTAAGTACGCCAAGTTGTAATGTTAAGATTGTCTTTATAAAATATCAAATGGAAAAAAAGAAAGCATATTTAACAAATGGTGCGGGCATAACTGGATATCAACATGTAGAAGAATGAAAATAGACCCATATCTATCACCATGTACAAAACTTAAGTCCAAATGGATCAAAGACCTCAACATAAAGCCAGCCGCACTGAACCTTATAGAAGAGAATGTGGGAAGTACACTTGAACGCATTGGCACAGGGACCCACTTCCTAAATATAACCCCAGCAGTACAGACACTGAGAGAAACAATTAATAAATGGGACCTCCTGAAACTGAAAAGCTTCTGTAAAGCAAAGGACATGGTCAACAAGACAAAATGACAGCCTACAGATTGGGAAAAGATCTTCACTAACCCCACATCAGACAGAGGTCTGATCTCCAAAATATACAAAGAATTCAAGAAATTGGACACCAAAAGAACACCTAATCCAATAAAAAAATGGAGTACAGACCTAAACAGAGAACTCTCAACAGAGGAATCTAAAATGGCTGAAAGACGCTTAAGGAAATGTTCAACATCCTTAGTCATCAGAGAAATGCAAATCAAAACAACTTTGAGATTCCATCTTACACCTGTAAGAATGGCCAAGATCAAAAACACTGATGACAACTTATGCTGGAGAGGTTGTGGGGTAAAGAGAATACTTCTGCATTGCTGGTGGGAATGCAAGCTGTATAGCCCCTTTGGATGTCAGTGTGGCGATTTCTCAGAAAATTAGGAAACAACCTTCCTCAAGACCCAGTAATACCACTTTTGGGTATATATCCAAAGGATGCTCAATCATGCCACAAGGACATGTGCTCAACTATGTTCATAGCAGCTTTGTTTGTCATAGCCAGAACCTGGAAACAACCTAAATGCCCCTCGACCAAAGAATGGATAAGAAAAATGTGGTGCATTTACACAATGGAGTACTACTCAGCGGTAAAAAAAAAAAAAAAATAACGACATCTTGAATTTTGCAGGAAATTGGATGGAGCTAAAAAACATTATTTTGAATGAGGTAACCCAGACACATAAAGACAATTATCACATGTACTCACTCATAGGTGGTTTTTAAACATAAAGCAAAAAAAAAAACAGCCTACAAACCACAATCCCAGAGAACTTAGACAACAATGAGGACACAAGAGAGACTCACATAGATCTAATCTACATGGGAAGTAGAAAGCAGAAAAAGACAAGATCTCCTGAGTAAATTGGGAGCATGGGGACCTTGGGGGAGGGCTAAAGGGGGAGGGGAGAGGCAGGGAGGGGAGCAGAGAAAAACGTAGAGCTCAAAATATAAAAAAGCCTGTCTTTATAATAAAAGCTAAAAAGCAAATATCACATAGTAGAGAATAAAATGTTTAAACATTTTATACTTCACATGTATTTTGTATCTATTAAATAAGTTAGTTCCAACTATTTCCCTCATTGTTTAAGGAATAACTTTTAGCTTGTCTTGTGGTTTAATCCCAGCACCCAGGAGGCAGACAGGCAGGCAGGCAGATCTGTGAGTTTGAGACCAGCCTGATCTACATTTCAAGTCCCAGGACAGACAGAGCTTTACAGAGGGATCTTTATCCTCTGGGTGTATAGTTCAGCAAGCCCGGGGAGATGTATACAGTACTATAACTGCCATCAGAATAAGGACACAGGACACCCCAATATCTGCAGCAATTCCCTCTTCTTGGTCGACACTCTCTCCCGTTAGTTCCTGGCAAGCCCTATTCCATTTTCTGTCATCATGGATCCCCTTCTGCCAGACTATCACACAAATAGAAGCACATAGTAGGTCTCTTCTAAAGTCTAGCTACTCTCACCAATATATTTGAAACCCATTCATGTTGGGTGGTTCACTCTCTCTCATTGCTGAGTAGAATTCTTAGTAGGTATTTTGTGTGTGTGTACATACATAGATACATTTGTCTTAAATATTTAATGATTACAAATAGACCATTCTAAACACCCAGGTAGAGTTTCTCTTGAGTATAGATTTTCATTTCACTAGGAAAATCTCTTGGACTGTATATTTAACTTTACAGTGCAGCAAATGATTGTGCTAAGGGTCTCCTGATTTTGCATTCCAATTTTTAATGTATGAGTTCTAGCAGTTCCATTTCTAATCAGTATTTAGAGACTATTTTTATTTCTTTTTATTTATTTGTTCATTTTTCGAGACTGTTTCTTTATAATAGTCTCAGGTGTTCTGGAACTCACTTTGTAGTCCAGGCAGGCCTCAAACTCACAGACATCCACCTGCCTCTGCCTCCCAAATGCTGGGATTAAAGGCGTGCGCCACCACCTGGCTTGTTTTAATTTCTTATCCATTCTGGTATGTTATTTTTCTTTGTGTGTGTGTGTGGCAGGGTGTGTGTTGATGTTTGGTGTCTCAGATAAGATTTCTCACTGAACCTTGGCCTCATCGATTGGGCTAGGTTGGCAGGCTCCACCCCTCGCGCCCCTTAGCGGTGTAGTGCTGGGGAGCAGGCCTGTGCTGCTGTATCTGGACTCCCGTGGGTGCTGGAGATCTGCATTCGGGCCCTGCTGGTATGGTATGCACTTTGCTGACTGAGCCGTCCCGTCTCTCCACTCGCTCTAATGTGTTATTGCAAATACAAAGACTGAGCCAAATATTTACTTAAATCAAATGATTTTACAACCTAGAGCTCTTGCTTGCCAGACATTCTCATTTCACAAGTCCATGCATCCCTGCCCCAATTGCTAGCACTTGCCCTGAGTGACTGCAGGAGGCGCTTGTCCATTCATCTGAGTCACCGCCTCACCTGTCTGCCTTCCTGTTCCTTCCTAGTCCCGGGATTATCAACAGAGTCCTTGAGCGCTTGGCTATTTGAGTCAGAGTATTCTTTTATCAAGAGTTCTAGTATTTAAAAATTGTTTGAGCAATGAAGATTTAGATTTCAAAATAGAAGCCTTTTAAAATGGTAAGGAAGAGTTATGTTAAATTAGGCTTCTTTCTTTATTTCTTCCTTTTTCTCTGTAGCTTTTGGAGCCTATCCTGGAACTAGCTCTTGTAGACCAGGCTGGCCTCAAACCCACAGAGATCCACCTGCCTCTGCTTTCTGAGTGCTGGGATTAAAGGCATGCACCACCACCACCCGGCTTAAATTAGGTTTCTATAACTTGTTTATAGAGTAAGCTATCGGCAGTACTGAAACCAGAATTTCCGAACGCTAGCTTTGTCTGTTAGAATGGAAAATCTTTAGTTGCTTCCTCCCCAGTGCTCCTGGGGGTGCGTCCTGCTCTCGAGAGAATTCTTTGAGAACTGCAAATCAAATGTTACAACTCTATCTCCACTACTGGACACACAATGTTTGTTTGCACATAAAATTAAATACACTGAAGGAAAGATGAACAAAACTAAGGGCATTTGGACTTTGTGAACGTGTTTAGGAGAACGCATCCTAGAGTTTTAGGACTAAAACTATTCCTGCAGTTCTGAAAACTCTTTCTGAAGTACATAGATCTGTTATTACAACTGCTCAAAAATACCCTTCCCAGCCGTGAAAGCCAGATAGTTAAACTATTAGAATCCACTTTTAATTCAAAGACTCTTAAATACCTTAAGCAGGTATTTCATAAATAGTTAGCCAAAACAGAGGGGACATATTCCTGTGAATTACAAGTCCCTGGAATTTGTGTCCTTAAAGATGTCTGAAACCTAGCATAGCCTAACCCACCTGAAAAGGTATTTTTACATTAGTAAAATGCATGGGTCTACGGTTATCGGCATGTACCCGTTCGCCTTCTTTATGGTACAGTGGTGCACAGAGTTCTCGGCGGAGCTTAGGAGCAGCATACATGGATTTAATGTCTATTTTTAAATCACCAGGGTTCAAGCTCCCCCTCGCGTGTTTGAAACGGGAGGAAACATCTGTCAGAAGCGCTTACCGTGACAAATATGGAGGAAAGCAATAATGTGTACCGCTCCCGTTTATTTAATACCATACGTTATTTTTAATTGAACAGTAAAGGCATTTGTTCGGAATCGGCCTTTAAATAAAGAATAGTTTAGACCTAATCTTTAATTAAAGTGTACTTTGATAGCATCGAGTTCAGTTTGAGGGTCACAAACAACGTCCATACGTCTGCCTTCTCTCTCCCTGCAGGGAAAGCAGGCTTGTGTAAATATACACACGTAGACGGCATGCATTTATAAGAGACAGGGAAAACATTCCCGTCTTTGGACACATGTTGCTTCGCTGTGCTCCGCTTTGCATACAGGAACAACTCCCAGGGTGCAAAGCCCTCGAGGAGTGGGCACAGATTGTTGCTTTTGGAACCTGTACTGTTCCCTACCTCTCTGCAGGCGCCTTACCTTGAATGTTAAACAGAGCTTGTAAAAATATGTGAGGGGCTCCGGCTCATTCTCACCTTTAAAATAGTTAAAGGAAAGGGTTGCTTGGATAGATTTTCTTAGAAACTGAAATTCTGATCTTTGTGTTTGTGTTCAGATGGATTTGTTTGCGCTCTGTGTGTGTGTGTGTGTGTGTGTGTGTGTGTGTGTGTGTGTGTGCTTGTGCTAGGTAAACACATCATGCTGGGTAAACATGCTCTACCATTGAGCCCACACTCCTGGCCAAATTATTATTTTCCAGGGAAGATGTTTTTAGAATTTTTTTGCATTCTTTCTTTTCTTTTTAATGATTTATTTTTATTTTATGTGCATTAATGTTTTGCCTACACATATGTCTTGCAAGGGTGTCAGATCCCCTGGAACTGGAGTCACAGACAGTTGTGAGCTGCCACGTGGATGCTGGGAATTGAACCTGGGTCCTTTGGAAGGAGACAATGCTCTTAGCCGTTGAGCCATCTCTCCAGCCCCCAGGCCAAATGATTAACACTTTGTTTTTAGTACTTTACCAGTCTTCCAACTTTAACCTCACTGTCCTTTAGGGTATTTGTTTTTCCGTGTGTGTGTGTGTGTGTGTGTGTGTGTGTGTGTGTGTGTGTTTGACACTAACTTACTAAAGGTTGCATGGCTGCACTCATAGATGAACGTGCTGGGCCACGCGCTCACCTTCTGCCTTGTGTGTGTGTGGTATAGCTCAATGAAAATTAAAACTACATATATCAATCATGATACGGAAATGAAAATGGAAACTAGGTCATGGAGCAAATGAAAAGGCTCCCTCCCCAAATTACTAAAATTAGGCAACAGGCATACCTAAAAAAAACCAAAAACTTTTATAAAGCACTTTGCGGAAGTTTCATGAAACAGTTGATCACCTTTTAGTAGAGAGAGACGTAACTAATATTACCATCCAATCAGATTTAAATCTTTGGAGCCACTGAGAGCAACACGTGGCATGTTTTCAGAGAAAGTGCTACCTGAGGAAATAAGAAGCGTCTAAAACGGAACACTTGCATTACATTTTCCCCCACCGGATAAAACTGAAAATTCAACTGGACATGATCAGTTTCACAAGGTAGCTGGAGCTCCCACAGGGCCCTTGTTCTGGGTTTAGGACAATTTATCTTCACAGCAGAGAGGGAGCTGTCAGATGAAAGCAAGCCTTTAGCTCTGAGGTCTTGGTTAGGAGAGTGAGAGGAGGCCGTCACTCCTAATGACGTGGACTTTGCACATGGTAAAGAACGTGTGTTGTGTGCCGCGGCTCACTACAGATCCAGTTACTCCATGGTAATGCACCAACATTGTTTCTTGAGGCTGTGTACATTATCACTGTTGTTTTATCCATCTTGTGGCATAGCGCCTGTCATGGTTGTTTGTACACTATGTGAAGATATATTGCTGTGATTGGTTAATAAAGAGCTGAATGGCCAATGGCTAGGTAGCAGGTATAGGTGGGACTTCCGGGCAGAGACACAGGAAGAGGAGATGAATCTAGGCGCATAGGAATCACCAGTCAGGGCAGAGAAGGCAGGATGGTCAGTATGGAGGTACAGAGAGATGAGGTATTGAGCCCCCAAACTGATCACAGGTTAAAAATGAGTTAACTTGAGTTATAAGAACTAGTTAGGAACAAACCTAAGCTAAGTCCTAGCTTTCATAATTATTAACAAGTCTCCATGTCATTATTTGGGAGCTGGTAGGCGGGACAGAAAAAGATACATTACAACCAGCAGTACTTATGGAGGCCCTGCACCTAAGTCTGCACTGCAGGAGTCCTGAGCTGCTCTGTCGGGGGAGGCTGGGAGGCATAGGCCAGGGAGGGCCCCAGTACTGCTCACAGGGCTTTGTCGGTGAGCTTGGCTAGAGATTGTCAAGTCTAGAAGGGACTCCCGTATGATTGGGGGAGCAGCAAAACAAACACGGGGTTGGCTATAGAGCAAAGGAGGGGCTGTGCTGTGGCCCAATGGTAGACGCTTGTCTTCTGTGACTGAGGCCCTCGGTTCATCCCAGGAGGGGAGGGAGACTGAACCCATAAACGGAAAACTGAAAATAAATGGGAAAAAAAGTTGAAATAGAATGTATAGACCGGGAGTTTGGGATTTAGCTCAGTGGTAAAGCGTTTGCCTAGCAAGCACAAGGCCCTGGGTTTGGTCCTCAGCTCTGGGGGGAGGGGGAATTAAAAAAAGACAAAATAACAACAACCAAAAAAATCAAAATATAGACTGTGTTAGTATCTCTCTGGCTAACGATGCCCATAACACTGCCAACATATACAACAATTGTGGCAGACCTGGCTTCCCACCTGGCTGCAAAATACGTGAGATTCAGATTGTCTAATTTGATTTTATTTTCTAAAGACAGGATCTTTTTTTTAGCTCAGGCTGGTCTTGAACTTGTTGTGTAGCTGATGACAACCTGGAACACCTGATCATCCTGTTTCAACCTCTGGTGTTCTGGGACTGTAGTCCTGCCTTATCATAGCCTGCTTCTTGTTTGAACTGTTCATGTTGTTTTGTTTGATGTATGGGAAGTATATATTTTAGAATAAATGAAGTTATTTCCCAGAATGGGGTAACTTTGTATAAAAACAATGCCATCTTTTTTTTTTAAACCCAAACAGCTGTTTTCTCACTAGGAGGTTCATAACAGACTTATTCAGAACTGAATTGAGTATAGAATCAAAACTTGGAGTTCAGACTCAAACTTTTTCTCATGAACCCCTTGGGGATGAATGAAACTTCTAGAGTCTTCAGAGAAAGCAGGTTCAGAACATGTGGCGTGGAGCAGAGGAGAGCATTCTATGGACTCCTTTGGGCTCCTCTCTCTACCCCATCTCCCGCACCCTCCTCCTTCCATACCCCAACCACTGGAGCCGTCATCACCTGGGCCTCCCCTTCTCTGAGAAGAGCCTTTCCCCTGCCTTTACCTCGCTGCTGGCATCAAGTCAACTCCCAGCCTTTCCAGAACCATCCCCCACCAGCAGTCGGATGACGACCAACACTGAAGTTGTGCCTGAGAACAGGTGGCTGGGAGGACCCCTCTACATGGCTACCCCGTTCCCCTGAAAAGAGAAAGACCAAACATTTGAAAGAACCTACCCCATGTCTTCAGTAACTTTAGTTTTATCTTCTTGGGAACATTCTGAAGATGGATTTGCACTTGCTAAGTATCTCTGTGCGTCAGAGAAAAAGACTACCTTTGGCTTACCCACCTGCGGGTAATAAACAGGAACTATGTGATGTATTGTTTCAAAGTTACCTGTAGCATACAAAGAATTAAAAGCATCCCGCTTTGAAACTAATTACTAGATCATCAAATGACATATATTAGTATCTTAAATTATATGTTATGGAATGAAATTAAACAAAAACAAGTAAAACCACATTAAATCATTAACAAATTCATAATCAAAATAAAATACAGACTTTTATATAGAAAAATCATACAGGAAAGTACAAAGTTCTTATAAAGAAAATGGACATTCTAGCATTAATATAAACATCCACTGACTTAAATTTATTCTCAAAGTAACCTCTAGGGCATGGATCGGTCATGTTGTTGGGACATGTTTATACCTTTACTTGAGCAATTATCATTTCATATTACATACGGTTGGTTTCCAGCGTGATGTCCCTTCTAGTGGGACTGCCTTGTTCACCTCTAATTCCGACTGCCAGGGTCTACACTGGGCAGATCACAAATGCCTCTAACTCCCGCTCCCAGGAACCCACACTCTTGTGGCCTCCATGGGCACCTGCACACACAAACATTAGAAAAAGAAATGGCTATAGGACTCGAGAAGCACACATCTGTGACGGTGCTTACAGGCACAATTAGACGCCCAGGCCTCCTAATGCGGGGTGGATCTGTGATCTGATAGCATTGGGGGGAGATCGTTAAAAAGTAGGAAGCAAGGCTTGACAGGAGGAAGTAGGTCACTGGGGGTGTGTCCTTAGTGACTCTAACTTGCCCTGACTTCTTTCTTTGTTTCCTTTTCTCTGTTCCTGTCTAGAAGTGAAGAACCACGTCCAAAGACCACTCTACTGCCACAATGCTTTGCCTGCGCACACGGCTGAGGCAGCCATGGGCGCAAATAGCCCACTGAAATTATGGGCTAAAATAAATCCTTCCCCTTTATGCTTAAACACACAATGAAGGAAGTAACTCATATGGTTCTTCATCATGGCTAACACCTGCTGCTTTTGTTTTGTTTGAGACTAGGTTTCGTGTACCTGAGGCTGGTCCTGAACTCCTGATACTCTTATCTTCTCTCCTAAGTGCTGTGATTACCATGCTGGATGTGTGTGTGTGTGTGTGTGTGTGTGTGTGTGCGCGTGTGTTTTACCTGCCCCCCTCCCACTCACACATACATATATTTCTCTAAATAACAACCGTTCTGGCTGATGTGAAGACTCGTCGTCATGACTACTGAGTCAGTAGCTTCATGGACTACTAACTTTATTATGCTGGCCATTTTTAATTTCTTCAGAAATGTCCACTCAGGTCCTTAGTTTATTACTATTTCTTTGCTATTGAGTTGTAGGAGTGTCTTTGTCAAATGTCTCACGTGTATTTGTGGCTTCGTTTGTGCGACTTGTGTTGCCTGTTGTTCTAGGTTTGTCTTTTCTTGGTTTCATCCTGTTTTGACTACTAAATTTTGTAGTATATTTGAAGTCAGAAGCTATGGTGTCTCTAGCTTTCTTCTTCCTCAAGATTGATTTGGTTATCTGTGATCTTTGTGGCTTTATATAAATTTAGAATGTTTTTCTTATTTTGTAAAAGCTGCCATTGTGATCTTGACAGGGATTGCATTAAATCTGTAGATCACATTGGGTCGGACAGATATTATAACTTTTAAGTCTTTTGTTTCACAAACATGGAATGACTTTTCATTTGCATCCTGTTTAGTTTCTTTTATCACTGTTTTCCAGTGTTCAGAATACAGGTATTTTACCTTCCCAGGTGGGTTTATCTCTGAGTACCTGACTCTTTGGGTACTTTGGTGAATGGTGCGGTTTTCTAACCTCCGCTTTAGATACTTTATTGTGGTGTTTTCATACAACTTTAAAGGTGCATTGTTAGTTTTAGACACACTGATTATAAAGAGATTAATTAGGGTTCCTTTGAGAAAATTAAATGATAAATTTCAAAGGTTGCAGGCCTTAAGGCGCATTATAATTTCTATTATTTCACCAAATTTCATTGAAGAAGTTAAAATTCACTTAGTTGTCTGTGTATTACAAAAATATTTGAAATCTATGAAGACAAAATGAGTATTATTTTTTAGTATAGGCCTAGTTTTGGGATAAAGGCTGCTGTTTAATCCTGTGTGTACTTCAATCTTAATAAGGTGCTTTGACGTAATACTGAAAGCCATAAAATGCTGAAGTGTGTGTGTGTGTGCGTGCATGTGCATGTTTGTGTGTGTGACAAGAAACTGAAGCCAGAGCTCCACACACGGTGTCTACCACTGAGCTAGCATGCCCAGCCCTTCCTTATTTTGAGACAGGATAATTTGCCCAGGTCGGTCTCCAACTTGAAACCTTCCTGCCCTAGCTGTCTAGATATCTAGGAGTACGAGTGTGCACCAGTGCTATGCAGGGCTACAAGGTTACAATACAGCCAGGAGGAAGACCAGCAGAAGCGTCTCCTGTGTGTCGCACAAGTCTGGGACCCTGAAAAGTGCGCATGGCCAGCACAGTGTCCATCACTGACATACTGTCACCCAGCCAAGTCCCAGTTCTCCTGCGTGGTTTTCCATAGCCCGTATTCAGGGGTGTGATACAGCAAGATCACCTCAGCCTGTGCTAGAGTGGCAGACGCCATGCTCTGGTGTCCCCTCCCCGGGCCTAACAACCCTCCGGGATGCTTCTGTTCTTTTCATCCAAGCTGCCAAGAAGAGTGAGTTGTGGGCAAATGCTGAGATTCAGGCTGTTGTGTGCAGAAGAGGCTTGATCCACTGCAGACTCTGTGGGGTCAAGTCTAGTGGACGTCCTAATCCGGCAAGGCAACTGTTCCATTACTCTATATCTAGTTGTACAAGTTAGGCAAAGGCTGGTGTGTCCTTGCTAACACAGCCATAGCATATTATAATCCGAACATTTAGGCTTTAGCGTGTGTGCATAAGAGGACCAGCCACAGCTGGACGGTGTGGCACACGCCTTTAATCCCAGCACTCTGGAGGCAGAGGCAGGCGGATCTCTGTGAGTTCGAGACCAGCCTGGTCTACAGAGCTAGTTCCAGGACAGGCTCCAAAGCCACAGAGAAACCCTGTCTCAAAAAACCAAAAAAAAAGAAAAAAAAAAAAAAAAGAGGACCAGCCACAGAGTGTAGGTCAAATACAGTTAACATATTTAATTTTAATATTTATGTGTTTATCATTTTGATTTTTTTTGAGAGGGTCTCACTCTATTGCCTAGACTGTTTTGGAATTCACTGTGTAACTCAGGCTGATCTTAAACTTACTGTGATCCTCTTGTCTCAGCTTCCTGAATGCTGGGATTATGGGTGTGAGCAACTATGTGTGATGCATTTTAATTTTTTTATCCTAGTGACGAAACTTGATTATTTGCACTAATGTTAACTATATAGTGACATGGGTTTCACAATTTATACCTCTACTGTTTTCTCACTCATGCACACTTTGCTGGACCAGAAGGTCGGTCTCCCGGAACTCATGATATGACCATGTGGCTGACACAGGCATAGCCAACGTGAACCTAGTGCAGGGCTTGTCCCTACTGGTTACCATCTTCATTGCTGGCAAAAGTTCCTAGTAACTCTATGTACCTCTGTTGACAACTAGCTAGCTGAATACACTTCCAATGTCTAAAAGCACCACCGTAAAACCCTGAGCTCCACGTCCCTCCTGTTTCCTGTATTTTTAGCCGCTCCCTCAGCGGGAGGTGGTGGGCTAGCGATGGGCACTTACTTAAGTAAGAGTCGCTCCGATCCTCATTCTTACTGCTCCTTTTCTTGCTGACTTTCTTGGCATCTTTGGATGCTTTCCAATTCATTAGGAATTGTCTTTCCAGATTTTTTATTTCTTTTCCATCAAGAAATTCTGGAGAAGATATGAATGTTAAAAATACAGTACAGTCAGACGGTAGCGGTGCACACCTTTAGTTCCAGCACCGAGGAGGCAGAGACAGGCAGATCTCTGTGAGTTCAAGGTCAGCCTGGTCTACGGGAGCTAGTTCTGAGATATCCTGGGCTACATAGAGAAGCCCTGTCTTGAAAAACAAAAAAATAAATGATATACAGTATGTATGTATGTATAAGTATTAAAATAAAAGTATATACTTCTGGCTTATAGTATATGTTACATTATAAGCTAAAATAAAGTCCTTCTTAAAAATACCTTAGACATTCTAGCTAGCTAGCTAATCTTATCATTCCAAAAGTTGAGGCAGGAAGATTACCATGGGTTTGAGGACAGCCTGGCTACTATAATGAATTCTAGGCTAACCTGGGCTACAGAGGGAGAGCTTGTCTCAAACAACAAAAATAGCAGTGCCAGGAATTGGGTTACATCTTGGTTTGTTGCCAGAGAGGCACCATGGGAGCTCCCAAATGTCACAGGCTGCTGGTTGCTCTCCGTGAACTGACGGTGGGCTCTGCAGCCGAAGATGCTTGCAACCTACATGTACGTACATCACCAAACATGGAGCAGGTGAGCTGGGGTCTGCCTAGAGGAGGAATATAATCCTATCCCAGCTACAAACCCTCCAATGGTGACCTGCCCTCAAGGTGCGCTGTTGCAATAGTGGCACAAGTGTTGTGGAAATGACCAACCACTCTCTGATGGCCAAGGACCTGCAAACGGACAGGCAATGGGCCGGGGAAAACTAAATTCTATTGCTCTGCTAAAGGACACAGCCATAAGATGACTCCTAATGGCATTCTGCTACTCAGTGCCTTGCTCAACCACCATCAGGAAGCTTCTTGCAGTATATGGAACTAACAGAAAGACACACAGCTGGACCATGCACCAGGTAAAGTCTCCCCACGAGGGCTCAGAGGTAAATGCTGAGGAGGAGGCAGAGGTGCTGGGAGGCTCCAAACAAACAGAGGCTCCAGACACAAGAACAGTGCACATGTGAATGCACAGAAACCTTGGTAACATGCACAGGGCCGGCACAGATCCAAGGCCAACGGGTCCTATCACTGAATTGCGGAAGTGGACATGGGCTTGCCCCACTACCGAGAAGCTATCTGCAACTAATACCTGCTGGGAAATGAAAACTCAGTTTTCCTCTCAATGAACCTCTCTGGGTATATTAACTGCCCTCCAGGATAGGCCCCATGCCCAGGGCTACAAACACAAAACAAACTTAGTGGTACTTTGAATCATTTTTGCTTTTAGAAATCAATAGACTTATCCCCATGCCTTTTACAACCTTGTGTATGGAGAAACGTTTTTGTTTTTGTTTTCCTTTTTGATTTTTCAAGACACAGAGTTTCTCTGTGTAGTCCTGGCTGTCCTGGAACTCTCTCTGTAGATCAGGCTAGCCTTGAACTCAGAGATCCACCCCCCTCTGCCTCAGGAGTGCTGGGATTAAAGGTGTGCACCACCGTCGCTGGCAAGAAATGGTTTTAAAATGGGGGATTTTGTTTTTTTATTTTTCTTCTCTCCCTCCTTTTATCTCTCCTCCCTCCTTTCTTCCTGTCTGTCTGTCTGTCTGTCTGTTGTCTTACAGAGTTGAAATCTAAACCCAGGGCCTGGTGAGTCCTAGGTATGTAACTCTATCACTGAATCACATTGCAGCCCATATTGGAATTTTTATTTTTTGAGTTGGGGGTCTCACGATATAACTCGTGCTGTCCTGAAATTGGTATGTAGATTAAGCTGTCTTTGAACTCACAATTCTCTAGCCTCTGCCTCCCAAGTGTGAGGATTAAAGGCGTGCGCCAACGCACCAGCTTTATATTGGAATATTCTTACTCATTAAACATTAATTGTATTCACTTTTTCCCCTGAGTAAAGCAGACCGGTGCAGCTATGTGTGGTATCTGCAGATCAGAGTCATCTGTGGAACTTTTAAGACATAACACCATTCACCTCTGTGTATTATTTGTTCCCTGTCTTTGTGGGCTGTGTATAGCCCCTGCATACATATTTTGAAAAAAATGTTTTTCATTATTTGACCTGCCTTTCCCCACACTAGAGAACCACTGAACTAGCATTATGATTAACTAGCTATGAGTTCTGAAGTCATTTTGTCATATTTTAGTTTTTCATTAATTCTTATCCCAGGGTTCTGCTCCAGGAAACTCTCACAAGGCTCTCCGTTACATGGCACTGCCGGTCGCTTTGATGTTATGTAACTTTGGCTCCACCAAACAAGTGTTCTGGCCCATTTTCCCCAATCGAGGGTCAACTTAGGAATGTTATTATTTGTAAGGATTTTTTTAAAGCAACTCCCTAGCCCCCTTTCCAATGAAAGGGACACCCGTGTAAGGGACAAGTAATCAATCTGATCAGTTAGTTTATCTGCAGAGCCAAGAGCTAAGGAGCCAAAGGGCCTGCCAAAGATTTGTTCCAAGTAAAGTTTAGCTCATTTGTGGCCAACAAGTTATGTAGGTAGTGGCCACATTTTCTCCTAAAAGTGTGCCTGGTGTTTACCTATGAATAGAAAAAAAAGTTTTCTTGAAGCCTTACTTCCTATTTTTACCTTTGCTATTATTCAAACATATACATTTAAGTTGACCAATTCCTAGAGCCAGATGTTATATTTATATCTCTGAAGGCTTGATGATAAGTTAACTTAAAAGTAAAACAAGTGCTTTCTCTAAGAAAGTCGAATCAATGTAAAACACCACTCACCCAGGGACTTGGACATCAGTATCAGTTTGTCCCTGTATTTTGGTTTAAGACAAACAGGATTTCCATTTAGATCCATTTTCCACAGCTTCATCAGTTTTTTCAGTAAAAGCTCCAAATCCTGTTACCAGGGAAGAAAAAAGAAAGGCATGTGGTCTCCTGGTTACCAGCTCTTCTCAGGCCAGCTGCTTTCTGAAGGTGGGAACTGGATTTTCTGGAGTTCTAGCTCCTCCGGTAAGCTGTGTGCGGTTGTGCGGTAGTCTGGGTGTGGTAGGGTGTATGCGGTAGGCTGGGTGCGGTAGGGTGTGTGCGGTAGGCTGGGTGCGGTAGGGTGTGTGCGGTAGGCTGGGTGCGGTAGGATATGTGCAGCCACCAGCTTTGTCTCTACCAGCGGTGGGGTGGCTAAAGGGGAGGCCAAATATGAGGTGCTAAGTTGGGGACCACAGCACTGCTCTAGATCATGGTGCCCTTAAATCGACCCAGCCTGTAGCTAAGGAAACAAGTTTCCCCGGCAGCTACCCTGCTCTCAGTGGAATGCAGTTCACACAGGGAGCCAAGGGAAGAGCAGTGAGCAAACGCCCCCGCCGCCCGCCCCGCCGCCGTACAGGCAGCCAGGGACACTCAAAAGGGAGAACTGTCCGGAAGTAGCAGGGACGAGCTGAGTTGCTTAGAAGAGGCTCAGACCAACTGGGCCACCGCAAAGGACACTCTCCAGCCTGTTCTTCTGCCTGTAGGCTGTGCAGTGGTTCAGGCTTCCAGGCTTCAGGAACGTCACCCACGGGAGAGGGCTTTTGATGATGCGGCCTCCTCTGAGTCATTTCTGCTATTGTAAAAACCCCTTACCCAGCTTCCTGTAAGTCACCCCAATAAAACTCATTGGTTCATCAAATTAAACAACAGCATTGTAAGCAATATACATTGATGCCTTTTTTTTTAAATGAAGAATGTGGGAAAATCCTGTCAAAATGTAAAACAGAAAAAAATGACTTGCCTGTTTATCACCCAAAGATCACATTGAACTCAGATGTCCTTCTAATCATTTGGGGGCACAGGGACTTCTTTTGAAATTATGCTCTTACTGTGGTTACATTTTTCTTTTACTTTTTTGTTGTTGCTGCTGCTTTTTTGACAGGGTCTCATTATTTAGCTCTGACTAGCCTGGCACTTACTCTGTAGACCAGGCTGGCCTCGAACTCACAGAGATCAAACTGCCTCTGCCTCCGAGTGCTGGGATTAAAAGCGTGCACCACCACATCCAATTTTGTTCTACCTTTTGTGGTATAACCATCTGCATGCTTTTATACCTTACCAGAAAAGGACTTGTTGACATTCAAGAAAAACTAAGTTAATCCACTGTGTACAAGTCACATGAAGGTGAAGGAGACAGAGGAGCGGCACCTCAGAAGTCTGGAGGCTCCCCCTTCCCCCCTTTCTCTCTATTGCACTGCTTTTCACAGTGAGCGTCAAACCCTGCACCAAACCTCCATCTTCCTGCCATTTGTTCCCTTGCTTTCTCCCCTTCCTCTTTAAAAATAAATGTATTTTAACTACCATTTAATGAGAAGAATATATACTTTGAATGCTTCTTATATATGCCCCAATGACTCATTTTTAAAAATGAAATAAAGAATATTAAATGCACCAAAAAAGCATTGCACTTTGGTTGTCTCTATATCTTTATTATTTTTGAAAAATGGCACAACAAACACAAGAATGCAGCTATATCTTCAAAATAGTAGGTGCATAGCTACCTCTAGAGTTTAGTCTGCGCTTGACTCTGAGGGATCAAAACAAACAACTTGGGAAAACAGGAGCTGTCTCTTCAGAAGCAGCCCTTGTCTCTCCGGCTTTTGCTTACTGTGCGCATGTCATGATTTTCTTATTGTCATCATCATCATTTTTATTATTATTTAGCTTTTTTGAGACATGTTTCTCTGTGTAATCCTGGAGCTCTATCTATAGACCAGGCTGGCCTCAAACTCACAGATATCTACCTGCCTTTGCCTCCCAAGTGCTGGGATTAAAGATGTGACCACCACGCCAGGCTTCCTGTCTTTGTAAAGTGGCTGCAGCTAGAACTAATTGTCATGGATCTAAAGTGCCCAGAACAAAGCAGGTAATTCATAAATGTGCCCACTTTCTGCCTGCTCTGCTGTTCTTCAGCTAAGCCCCTTTCTCTTAATTTTGACTAACAGCAAAATTTAAAGACGAAACTTTTGATTCATTGACCAACAAATAGTTATCTTCAAGTAAGAAAGCTGTCTTTAAAATTATAACCTCAGTCCTCATTCTTGAACCTTAGGTTTTGCTTGGTCTGAAGCATTTGTTCCATGTTTAACACAGCCACGATGACTTTAGCCAAGAGCTCTGAATTTCTCTTACTCTAAAAGCCACAAGGAAGGACCTGGGAGCTGAATGCTTCACACTGTTGAATATAATGCCCATAGCAAGAGAACTTTACACCCACACAGATAAAACCATGTTTGGAGTTTTGTTCATTATTCCTCGCTTGATAAATGACCCTGGACACACTCCCCCCAGTGTATGTTTACTTAAGGCTAAGCTAATCCTGCTCTGAAATACGATTACCCTTCGGATACGCTCTGCTTGTTCATTGCCTTCCTGTCCTTAATAAAATGCTTTCACTCTCCTGCCCTTCGATAAATTACTCAAGGAACCAGACACTTTTCTGGACAGTCTCTGTTTGATAAATGATCATGTCATGCTATCGCTCTTGTGCTGCCGAGTCTGAGGCGCCAATTCCCCTTCCCCTGCAGGCTGGTACCCTGCTCCCGCACGGGCGACTCTAGCAGGCAGTGCTCCTTGCTTTAATGATGACTCTGATGAACCTGTATTTGACCAGCACGCTCCAATCTGTATCGGAAACGTCTGGCCCCACTGTCCTCACCAAGTCTAAAGACAGCCATTTGTCATCCCTCTGGCTGCCTGTCATCGTCTGCCTGAGGAAATCTATAATTTTGGGCTTGTTCCTGACTAAAGTGTGGAATGAATAAATTTATCTTTGGGCCATGCCGCTTGCCAGGATCAATACTGAGCAGAGGTTGAATAAATTAGGAACGAAGAAAACATGACAGGCTATTGTGGCTTGTTCACTTGTGCATTGTAAATCAAATGTTTAGTTTATCAAAGAGGCAAGCATGTCAAGTTTTTCATTTTTCCCCTTCATTTATGAAGATTCTCTGTCTCATGATAAATGGTCATCAGAAAACCAATGCAGTAAATCACTAACGAATCTGGATGTGAGAGAAACTCGGGTCGCTTTATTGATTTGGCAAACTTTGCAGACATAAAAACTATGGCAAAGATTAAGGATATTTTGTTGGTTTTCCTTCAACTTTTGTTTTGTTTGCATTTTTGGACATTCATTTGACTTTGTATAACATTAGCAACTTGGATAACGTGGGCCTAGTGAAGTTCATGACTCAACCTGAACTCAATTTGTAGAAATTTAAGTTGAGCTGTAAATCACTAAAATATTTGGTGCTTTTAGATACTGATGCATGCCTGTTTAGAGAGGTTACAGGAAAAATGCAAAACAAAAAGTCATGAAGTGTCATCTAAAGTAGAGCCCCACAGGTTAAAGGATGACTATCATTATTATCATCATTATTATTATTTGGCTTGAAACTTCTCTTTCCTCTCCTCCTCAATACTGACCTCGGTCCACGCATTACTGGGGAGAAGTAGGTCAGGTCTTACCAGCATTTTCTCAGTTAACTGCTGTGATCTCACACTTCCTTTCCCGTTTTCATTTTCTCCACAAACATTTATCCACAGTCACCAGACCCGTTGACTAGGGCTTCTCAAAGACTTTCTGTGCACAGGAATCACCAGGGGGAGCTTGGGAGGTGGCTCAGCAGGTGAAGGGCATGTCATCAAGCCTGACTATGTGAGTTCAGACTTGGGGAGCCACAAGGCTGAAGGAGAAAACTCTCACAAGTTGTCCTCTGTGCAACACACACGCAACACACACACACACACACACACACGAATAAAATGTAATTTTAAATTTAAAATAGAATCACAAGGGACCTTGTTTAAATGCAGGTCCTGAGCACTGTGTCTGGTGAAGAAGTTATGACTGACTCCACATGAAGCTGCAAGGGTTTAGCCAATTCCTTCACTTAAACCACTGGGCACTCCCCCAGGCTGAAGAGTCAACGGGCCACATGGTGAACTGCTGCCTGGGTCCATCCCTGGCGAAAACTCACTGAGCTGAGTCAGAGGCTAATGGCTCCATTGAGAGCAGAAGACGGTAGGCCATCAGTGACCATCAAGAACCCCTTCCTTTTCTAAACTTGGCCTCTACTCCTTCAAAAGCAATTTCTTGTTTTCACTCCAGGGCTCACAGAAGAGGGTGCACTCACAGAAACACCACCATGTCCACCGTACATAAACCTTCCCAGCAAATAATCCCTCCTGCCACGTTTGCGTCCATGATGGTGTTCTCATCCATAACCACAAAGCGGAAGACACCTCTGCTCATCTGGCTCTGCGCTGTACGTAGCCTCACACATAACTGCTTATTTGATGTTTTTCTGGAATGTTTCAAAGACACTCCAACTCTGCAGGACCCAAATTCGTGATCTCCGTGTACCCAAACCTGACTCTAGAGTTCTCCGTAGCTTGTTTACCTCTGCTCAGTATTCCCTATGTCCAGCTAGAAGCGCGTCTAGCCCACTTTATCCTCCGAACATTTCTCCGGTTTGTTCGCTCCATTTCCACCCCCACCGTTAACGTGTCTACGACTCACTTCTTAGCTGGCCTGGCCTCTTCCAATCTGTTCTTCACACCCCAGTCAAGCAGAATCTTTTCAGAATGCTAACATCTAATTATTTCACACCTTCAGTGGCTCCAGGTGTTCTCAGCATAAACAAAACTCTATGATAGCCAAGGCAGCTGGTCCATCCGCAGCGCCTCTCTGGACTGTGTTCAGCCTTTACTCGCTCAGCCTCGCATTCCCTTTAGGAAAAGTGTGTGCTTGCCTTAGGGGGCCATTTCCTGGCCTGGAAATCTTTTCAAGGAGGGCTATGTCAGAGGAAGTCTGACATCCTTGCCTGCTAGTGCGAGTCTTTTGTTACAAGGACCACCCTCTTCCCCTCGTGGCATAGGAATTAAACGTGAGAGGTACAGTGGAACAGGCTTTCAAGTTCTTCCTTCAAGGGATACACGTGGGACGAGGAGGAAAGACGATTTTTGCTTCCTATGCTTTCTCTTCCACATCTTACCCACCCGCTTTATTTATTCTTGCCTAGAAGTCCCTGACCTGGACCAGCTCCGGAGAGATGAGGGAAGGGATGATGACTCGAGTAGCCGGGTAGCCGGAGAGGGAAACAGAAGCTATGGCCATGCACTGAAACCCAAGGGCGGTGGCTTTGGCTTTTAACACTCATTTCCCGTAGGCTCCTGGGCCACCAGGAAATGAGGACCTGGTCATGGTCCGTGAGCGACTGTGTTTCCTAAAGACTCAGTTCTTCCTTGTTTTCTTTTTTCCCCACAGAGCTCAAAGATTTCAGTAGCCTGGCAGTCTTTGTAGTACTTTTTACCTGCATGTGTTTTTAGAAAAATTCTCCTTGAGATCATTCTAATAGATCATTATTTTTCTATTTTTTAAAAATTTATTTTCCATGCCAAATTATACTGTAAATACTACCATTTTCTAGTTTATGTTACTATGTAAAAATCCATGGGTAAGACCAACAGGATTTCTCACTGTCCTGTATAATCTGTTATAATTATTTAATAAGATGAGTGACCAGAGAGTCCATTTGTAATTACATATCTGAATTTAAATTCTGAATTTTTAATTTTAGCCACAACGTAAGTTCTCAACAGAAGCAATCATTTTCACATTCTCCTTTCCCGTGTAACAACTACCTTCAGTTGTTTCTGGGGACTCATCTGTGGGACGTGCTGGGGTCTGTCCAGAGGCAGCTGCCCCGTAAGTGCCCAACACCTCAGGTAATTATCATGGGGCTGTCCGCTTTCTCTAACGATGGCTGTCTTTCCCCGTGGCGCAGAGCTGTCTGCTGCTGACAACCCTTTGCGTGGAAGTCAGTGACTTTATGCGCGGCATGAGAGACTTCTTCCCCAAGGCATAGCATTTACCAGTAGGTTAGGGCAAAAGGAGTGGTAAACTTGCAGCCACAACAGAGACCTTGGATGCAGAATATACACAAGGAAAGAAGCTGATATTCAGGTGCTGGGCTCCATTGCCATCTTGACTAAGCCTGCAGGGGACGATTTAAATGACAAAAGCACGTTCAGATACGTCCTGGGCAGGCTCGGTATTCTGGATCCAATGAACTGAGTCCAGGCTTTTTTTTCTTGCTCATGTTTCTAACAGGTTCCTATCTTGTAAGGAACTTGGCATTGCTCTTGTGGATTTCAATATTCCTTCTTTGTCCTGTCCTCTCAATGTTTTAACTATATTTCCGTGCGAAAGAGTCATTTTTCTTGTCCTGTTTGCATTTGTTCCCCTAGATTTGGGGAAATTTCTGCCATAATGAGTAAGTTTTTCTATGCCTTTAGTCTTTTAACTAGGATAGATGCTCAACATTTTATTCTTGCACCCTGAAAATCTACAGGTTCTACCTAAAAATACACCCAATACACCCACTCCTCATCTCCAAGCAACCACGTCTCCTTCTCTCACGCACATCATCTTACTTCTTGCCTGTAATAGTTTCCTAACTCATATCTTTGCTTTTATTCTTGAAACTCATTCTTCATATAACAGACAGAGAAATCCTTTTGAAAAATACATTCCTTCCAATGACTGTCTCTGCACTTAGAATTAGGTCATAATTATGTCCTGTGCTGGCCTTGTGACCTGACCCCTATGCCCTTCTTTCTGATCTCATATCATAGCGCTGCTTCTGTGCTACTGAACTTTCTGGGCACCTGCAGTGTATCAGCAATAAGGGCCAGCCCTCGGGCCAGCCCACAGCGAACTGACCTCGTTTTGGTTCTTTGAACATCTCAAACTGTCTCAGAGAAACACAGCTGCTATCTCTTATGCCTGCCATGTTCACTGTCTAGCTTTCTTTCCCTTTTGAGACGTTCTTGCTTTGTAGACCAAGCTGGCCTCGAACCCGTGTCTTTCACACTATGTCTTCCAAGTGTTGGGATTGTAGGTATGTGCCACTATGCCCAGCTTGGACATTCTTGAGGCCTGGAACTGTCCTTCCTTCCTCTGTAGTACAATGCCAGACAAACACAGAAGGGTTCGGCGCACAGCTGCATACATGATCGATGTAATGACACGGCATGGCACGATATAATAGGACATGCACTCAGCTAGTGCAAATTAGAACGAGTTGCTGTCTCTGTACTTCCCCACGTAGCATCAGGGAGCAGCTAGGCTGACGTTCCTAGGAACTCATTCACTAGGAGCCCAGAGTTAAAGAAGAAACTCGGCTTCTAGGAGAAAGTCTAATGGACGAATAGAAAGTAGATAGAAAGGCATATAGCTCCTCAGAGAAATATGGAGGATAAAACAAGGAAGACACAAATAGTTATAGTTAAGAAGTAGAGATTAGGGGGGTTGGTAAGATGTCTTGAGTTGTTAAGAGCACTTGCTGACTGCTCTTCCAGAGGACCCAGGTTCAATTCCCAGCACCCACATGGCAGTTCGCAACTGCCTGTAACTTCAATTCCATGGGACCAGACAAACCCATGACAAAACACCAATGCACATAAAATAAAAAAATAAAAATTTAAATATTTAAATTTAATTTTTTTCAAAAACTTAAAAACTTAAGAGCTACAGTAAGCATTTTTTAAAGTAGAGGTAGGGATTCAGAAGACAGATTTAGAATAAGCACAGGGTAGTACTTTAACAAGTGGCATGTTTTGTTTTGTTTTTGGATTTTTGAGACAGGGTTTCTCCGTAGCTTTTGGTTCCTGTCCTGGAACTAGCTCTTGTAGACCAGGCTGGCCTTGAACTCACAGAGATCCACCCACCCCTGCTTGAGTGCTGGGATTAAAGGCATGCGCCACCACCGCCCGGCAACAAGTGGCATTTTTAGAACTCTTTCTAAGTTGTGTTCTAACCCGCAGTCCCGAGCAAATCCTCAAGGCTGGCTTCGCTCCCATTACCTTCACATGCACCAGCTGGTTGTCAACGGCGATCAGGTGGTTCAGATTCTCCAGCATCTCTAAGTCTTTTATGTCATCGATATTATTGTTGCTGATATTCAAAATAGAGAGGGATTTCTGGAAAAAATGAACAAAATTAACATTAGTAAGTCACCTAAATACTACATACTGGGAGTGGAAGGGTCGGTGCTTTAGAAGCTTCAAGGGCACTAGTTCAGGTTGCTTTGTAGGCAAGAAACAAAAGCCATGAAGATTCTGTTCCAGTGTTTTGTGGGGTTTTTTTTAATATGGAACTTTCAGATCTCTAGTGTGTGCTATAGCCGACTGTTGCCTCTGGTTCCTCCATAAGCCTTATGCTCCTCTTCCAGAAGACAATATAAACTATAAAATAGGAAAGCTACAGAGTAAAGAGAAAAACCATAGCCAGTGAACACGACAGCTCGACGTAGACAAAACGTTCACTGCAGCCTGAGTACATAACTATCCTGTGCTAAACAGGCTGTGTGTTACAGCCTGAGTACATAACTATCCTGTGCTAAACATTATCCAGGGAAGAAGTCACGTGACCTGACATGAACGATGTCTGCTTTTATTTTTATCTTTCCCTCTTTAGTTTTCTCTTGATAATTCATTTGTTCAGAAGTCATTGAAGTAACGATTTCAATGTTAGCTAATAAAATGAGAACATAAGGGGGCTGGAGAGATGGCTCAGTGGTTAAGAGCATTGCCTGCTCTTCCAAAGGTCCTGAGTTCAATTCCCGGCAACCACATGGTGGCTCACAACCATCTGTAATGAGGTCTGGTGCCCTCTTCTGGCCTGCAGACATACACACAGACAGAATATTGTATACATAATAAATAAATATTTCAAAAAAGAAAAAAAATGAGAACATAAATAACTATATGACAATACTAAATGAGCAATCTTAAAATCTAAGACTTGTGTATCGATATCAAATCTACCCGCCAAGACAGCCATACATAGTCAACCTTCAGAAAGAAAGCCCTGACATTTAGAAGTTATGACTAGTTCCTACCATTTGTACAACACAGCACATCTCATTATGACATTTCTGTACATGATAGAATGGAGTTTGGTTGTATTCGACCATGCACTGGACATGGACAGGACACCACTGAAATAGGGGCCAGGCAGCCAGCTGCATGCCGCCAGCTGCATAGGGGCCAGGCAGCCAGCTGCATGCCGACAGCTGCAGAGGGGCCAGGCAGCCAGCTGCATGCCGACAACTGCAGAGGGGCCAGGCAGCCAGCTGCATGCCGACAGCTGCAGAGGCAGAGGAGAGGAAGTGCCATGGTAACTGGGTCACCTTTTTCTTTTCTAACATAAAGGACCACTTCTCAGTTGTATTAGAAACAAGTTCCTTCCATTTCTGGGTCCTGTGAATCAAAATGAATAAAATCTGCACAACTGTGTCCCATTTATAAATCTCCTGGCCCAGAAATGAAGGTAGTGTGACCAAGACCCAGAGGGCTTTGAGGACAAGCAGCAAACCCTGCATCTCACCTCACAGATGGTGACTGGCTGGCCAGCAACACATCGGGTCCTCAAACCTGGGTTTGTGCACACAGCCACAACTTCAAGCTTTGGGAGGCTGATGCCAGCCTGAGGTTGTATCTCAAAAAATTGAAAGACAAAGAAAGCTTGCCAAATAATTGTCCCACTCCCTTTTCCTCATAGTTTGCCCTAAAATTTAAAAACATGAGTCATGATAGTCAGCAGCGCCTACATTATGGGCCTGTATTAGAACTTCAGTTCACATAACCTGCTCACATCCCTTTTAGTCCTTCTAGTTAAAGAGGTAGGCACGCCGCCCTAACCTATAGTACCGTCATACTAGAGATTGCACAAGAAAACCACCCTCAGGTTTCCAATGGGCAGATCAGCAGGACGACTTCGTCCACACTCCGAGCGTGCCCTCCCTGACTTGTGTCCCACTGCATTCTGCCCAAACTTTCTTATGGCCTTACTGCCAGAGAACGGAGAGTCCTGGGGTCAAACAGAAGCTTTTCTCCCAGGGGAAGCCTCTGGCTTTCAACATGCAGCTCCCTCAGTTCTTCCAGTCCTTCTAAACCTTCTACGACTGCAATGTAATTGCCTCCCAGGTACCTGCAAAACACAGACAGGGCTTCAAATAGGTTTTCTGGGAATGCTGTGGATGTTAAGAATGATAAAAATATAACAAGGAGGGCAGGGGACATGGCCGCTGCATAAACCACTCACTTCACAGGTATGAGGACCTTAGTTTGAATCCCCAGAACCCACATAATGTGGTCTTATTAGGAGCATCTGTAGCCCCAGAGCCCCTTGGGTGAGGTGGGAGATGGAGACAGAAAGAATCCCCCGACACTAGTGGGTCAGGTAGCCCGGCACACAAGGAGACCCTGCCTCAAACAGGGTGGGAGATGAGGACCAACCCCCGAGGTTGTTCTCTGACCTCGCCGTTCCCATACCTGCATTCATACGAAAAATGTGTGCACACACAGAGATAAAAATTATATGCACAGAGTGTTATCTTTCTGTCAGACCTATGAACGTTCCATCTGAATCCCAAATTATATTGTTACACTTAATTTGGTCTAAAATACATTATGTTTTTACATCTTTCAATAGCATTGATTAATTGGACAAACCAATGGGTTTCATTAGTATATTCATACACGTATATCATATACATCTCCAACTTTTTAAGTGGGAGGGTTGAAATAGTGGGTACTGAACTGTTTCCCACCCACACCTTACAACCCAGACTATAGGTTTATAAACAGTTTCTGGACCTCACTCCCATGATCTGCTGGGTATCGAGACTGGAACTTAGTCTGCATTTGGTGAGTGTTTCCTCATCACCCTATCCTGTCCTCATCCCGAAGACCACAGGCCACTTCTAGAAAAACGTGCTAGTTACCCAATCTGGGGAACTTGGGTCTGCTGGTCTTCATTGCCCAGCAATAATACTTTAAAAACAGATTTTAGTTTCAATTTATGTATATGTGTGTATGTGCATGTGTGCTGTGTGTCTGCCCGGTGGCACCAGATCCCCTGGAGCTGGAGTTATATCCAGCTGTGAGCAGCCGGTGTGGGTGCTGGGAACTGACCTCAGGTTCTCTGTGGGAGCAGTGCGTACAACTGAGTGCTGAGCAATCTCTCTGACCTCCCTAGTAATAATTATCAGCAACCTTTCAAACAATCAAATCGGTATTAGTTTATGACCTTTACCCTTTGAAATCAAAGCCCCTTGGGGACTCAGAAGAGCACAGAATTTACCTGAGCTCCATGGAAACCCTGTTGACCGACTGAACTTTTGTGAGAATGCTTATCCCTAAAAGTCCATTAGACGATTTTTTCTCCCCACCGGAAGAAAGGTGTATCAAGCTGTTTAGATTTTTGAGCCAGGACTTCATTATGTAGCCCAGGCTAGTCTTGAATTTCTAGAAATCCTCTGCCCCAGGCTTCTGAGAGCTGGAATTACAAGCATGAACCACTGTGCCTATCTTATCAGGTTTAATTAAAGCATCAATTATATTATTATTAAACTATAATATTATTATATTATTATAGTTTAATAAATAAAGCTTGCCTGAAGATCAGAGAGTAAAACAGCCCCACTGGTCAGCCTTACAGCCTAGGCAGTGGCAATACAGACCTTTAATCCCAGTAGCCACACTAGTTGCCATAGAAACCAGGCAGCGCATTCTTTTAATTCCAGCACTAGAGAGGAATATAAAACAGGAGGAGACAGCTCTCACACAGTCTCATTCTGAGATTCCTGGAGGCAGGATCACCATTTCAGACTGAGGTAGAGGTAAGAGCCAGTGGCTGGCTGTTTTGCTTTTCTGACCTTCAGGTTGAACCCCAATTTCTGTCTCTGGCTTTTTTATTAATCATGCTACAGATTAATGCATTTTATATGAATATATTACATACAATAGGATAAAATTAAAAGTGAAACCTGTTCCATGAAACTTTTGAGAAACAGATTTAAGCCTACACCCAGTTTAGATTTGCGACCTAACGCAACACTAGAAATGCTTGCCCAAGAAAGAAAGGGGGAAAGCAGTTAGGAGGATTCACAAATAAAAGCACTCACAGTTTCTCTAGTCTCTTCAGGGACCTGAGGTTCTCGATGCAGGAAATGCAATTGTTCTGCAGGTACAAGTGGGTCAGATTCGTGGAATAGTTCAGGTTGGTGATGGCACTAATGCGGTTATCATATAAATATAAAACGCTCAGGTTTTTGCAGAGAGAGAGGTCGTCCTGAGAAGAAAACAGAACAGGTGCTAGTTCTTCCCCTCTGAATGCTTAGCTGCTGGGTTTTAAGAAATACTTCGACACTCTACAAATCTCCCTAAGACTAGTACAAAGTTACATTTCTCTGCACTTAGCACAGTCCAAATAAGACTGTAACCATCACTAAGTAATTTTGGGCTTTAGAATTGTTACTTTTCTAGTAAAATCGTATTTCTTAAGAATTTCTTAAACAATCTTCATTGGAAGCAATTAGAGACCTTCCTGAAAGCTGAAACAATGAACAAATTATTGTCCAAACATTATAACGCAGAGATTAATCTTCCTGTTGGATTCGAAATAAACTGTCAGTTTATAGTACTGAAAACTGGAAATCATTCAATAGCAGAGAGCAATAGATTAAAGCCAGGTATGGTGACACACACCTTTGCATTCTGCACTGAAGAGGCTGAAGTGGGTGGATCTCTGTAAGTTCAAGACCACCGGGTCTACATGGTGAGTACCAAGCCGGCCAGGGCAAGAGAGAAAGACCCTGACCCAAATAAATGTGGAGGATAAAAAAACCAAACTATGATGATGCTATCAATCTGAGTCCTGTAAAACAAACTTTCATTTCTTTGTACTATCGTGTAGACGTCAGAACAGGACAACAGTGGTTCACTCTGACCCACTCTTGTGATTACTGAGAAGCTAGAGCTGGGTTACATGGTTTCCAAACATCTTTAATCCAGCACTGGGGAGACAAAGGCAGGTGGATTTTTGTGAGTTCAAGGACAGCCTGGTGTACAAATGAGGATTTCTGTGAGTTTCAGGAGAGCCAAGACCCCATAGAGAGACCATGTCTCAAAAAAAAAAAAAAAAAAAAAAAGCAAAATGAGGACTGGAGAGATGGCTCAGTCACTGGCTGCTCCTCCAGAGGACCCGGGTTCAATTCCCAGCACCCACATGGCAGCTCACAGCTGTCTGTAACCTTCACATAGACATGCATGCAGGCTAAGTGCCAATGCACATACTAATAAAAATAAATCATTAAAAAGAACAGAACAGGCTGAACTGTGGTGGCACACGCCTTTCCTCCCAGCACTGGGGAAGCAGAGACAGGCTGGTCTGTAGAGCGAGTTCCAGGACAGCCAGGGCTGCACAGAGAGACCTCGTCTAGTACAACTGGCCCAGAATGACATATATTGACATAATTAAATTATATGCAAAAACTTCACCTTTGAACGTTTGTTGGGGAGAAGGGGTGACTGGGCATTGAACACAGGGCCTTGGGCACGCTGAGTGTATACTGTCACTGAGGTATACTGTTCTCAGTGTTGAAGATTTGTGTCCTTAATCCCCAACCCAAGACAGGTCTCACTGGATAGCTCAGGTTAGTCTTGAACTTAAAATCCTCCTAGCTCAACCTCTGAGTGCTGGGGTTACAGGCAAGTGCCTAGCTCATTTCTTAACATTTTGAAGTTTAAAAAGTATTCCAAAGTTCTGGCGTGGACCAAAAGTAATTGCTTTCCAAATCTTGTTTGTTGTGCAAATACAAGTGTATCCCAGGGAAACAGCAGCGTATGTCTAACAGATATTTGTAAAACACGCTATATTTCACAGAAACTTAATATGCTAAGTACCCAAAGAAGGAAATTAAAAGAGAAACATAATATGCTTCCCAGTAAAAATATAGTTAACAAGTTCAATCAAAATAGAATTATTATATTGGATATGCCCTCAAACCAATAAAGTTTATATTTCTAATTGTGTAAAAATGAAATAATTTAAAGTTCTTACAATTGAATCTATATTTCTGTCTGAAAAATTTATGTGCGTTATTTTCTTCAGGCATTGTGTGATGGTTTCTTCTTTTCGGGGTTTAAGATTGCTGCTTTTGGCAATTAAATCCAGAGTCAGTCGAACCATGGTTTCTGTGTAACTGAAACTCTCAGCAAGAACTCCGTTTTAGTGCCATGTCCAGAAGCAGGTTTAGGTATTACTTCCAACTTTCTAAAAATGGGAGGGAGCGAGAGAGTACTGTGATGTAGCCATGCCCGACGAGGTAAGTTGCTCTAACTGTCTCATGGACAGCTACCTGGTAAGCTAGGCTGCTGGCATTTATGCTTCTAGTATTTCCTACCTTTCCAGACAACCTCCAATATAATTAAAGCCAAGGCCAGGTGTGGTGGCACATGCTTGGAAGGCAGCGGCAGGCAGTTTTCTGTTGAATTAGAGGCTAGCCTGGTCTACAGAGCAAGTTCCAGGACAGGCTCCAAAGCTACCCAGAGAAACCCTATCTTGAAAAACCAAACCAAACCAAACCAAAACAAAGCAAAACCCCAAAAACCGAAGAAGCAACAAAACATGCTAGGCAATCACTTTAACATCGAGCTACATCCCGTGCCCTGAGGCATCTTTTCAAAAGTTTATTTATCCTCTCTGATTAAGAAAGGACCTCCAGGAAAACTGCCCAATGCTCTTATTCATGGATGGAGAAATTAAGCCCCAGAGAGCTAGTCCAGGCTTTTCAAAGTGCCAGCTGAGGCTCGAGCCAGTGTCTCACTCCTCATAGGAACTGGCGCAGCATCTCCAAACCAGAACCGATGCTGCGCATACCCCAAGTTACACACAGAATGATACAGAACACTCGCCATGGGCCAGGCCTAGATATTGTATGTCATGCCAGAAAAACGGCAACAAAAAGCAGCGTTTTCCAATGCAGATTGCTGAGTTCAAATATTAGCCTCACTGCTCGCTGGCAAAACAATCTTCAAGTATTTTGTATAATAAATTTAAGGCAAGGTGCATTCACAAGGACCTATTGATCCCTTGCACAACAAAAATACATTATAAATTTTTTTTTAAAAAAGCCAAACCTGTAAGGTGCGTGTGCGAGCGTGTGGCCTGTGGGCGGGCACGCGGGTGTGTACACGCACACATACATGACCAGGTGCTTGGGTGTCTCACCAGGCTCCACCTCCCTTGAGGATGCAGGGCAGTGAACAGCTGCTGGAGGGCGGGGCTCACAAGGCTCCACCTCTCCTTGAGGATCTACAGGCAGCTCTAGTGTCCAGAGGAGGGAGAGGCTTGTTTTTTAGTGGTTGTAGCCCCTGCTAAGGTGCCCACGCTCCTGTAAATAAACCCTCACTTACACCCCTGTAATCAACTGGAATGAAACACATCGAGAACAGACAAAAAGGGGCAAGAAAACAGAAGAGGGACTAGCTGGGAAAGGAAAGGGGCGATGTAGATGAAGGGAGATAAGAGCTGGTAACAAGGTGGAGGGGAATTTGATCAAACTACCTTATGTGTATTTATGAAAATATAACGAAACATTACTATGTAGAATATACAATACTCAAAAGTTTTATGAAATAAGTGACTTTCACTGGTGATATTACCTGTATTCTAGCAGCCGAGGAGGCTGAGGCAGGAGGATTGCTTGAGTTCTTGTGTTTGAGACCAAACAGGTGAAGAAGTGGGGGCATGCTTTCAAATAGAATATTATTTTATATAAGACCCACAGGACCCATACATAAGCTTAAAATATAAAACACTAAAAATAAATTTAAGTTTAACATGATGGCTCATAAACATAGTATTTGTGAGGTGGATGCAGGAGTTCAAGGCCAGCTGCAGCTACATAGGAATTTTAGGCTAGTCTGGAATATATGAAACCCTGCTTCAAAACAGAACAAAGCAAAGCAAAACAACAACAACAGAAAGAAAACAAATGCAGGTGTTTGTGTATGTATGTGTGTGTGTATGTGTGTGTGTAAGTGTGTGTGTGTTGTAGCTCAGTGGTGTCTAACATTCACAAGGTCCTGGATTCATCCCAGTACTGAAATAAACTAACAAACCACAAACACTTCTACTTTTCTCCCGCTCCATTCTCTTCAAATTTGGATGCTGCTATTTATTTATGCATTGGTTTAGTTTCAAATGTCCATACGCCTAAAAAGCACAGTTCCCCGCACACACGCAATTGTGCACGTCATCAGTGTCAGTGCCCCTCCTCCTCCTGTTCACCGTTTGCTCTGGAGAGCCATCTGGTTTACCCCACACAGCCCTAGAGCCTGGACGGCTGCAGTTTGTTTTCCCGAGCACGACTCTAATTTTTCTGTATTTTTGCCTCTGCAGTGCTGCTTTTACGGTTCTCGTCTATTTTGTCTTCAACACAAGGTTTAATCTAGGAGCAATATGCCTGGACTGCGGGGTTTAAGGTCACTGTATGCTTCCAAACTGTTCTTCAGTGGGCTTTGACATAGGCTGCTGGGGGCAGGGTCCCCATGGGTACAGCTGTAGCTCTGACAGAGACTGTTTTTAACTTGGATTTTAACTGGACACTCTTGACACGACATCCTCTTCCTGCTAACCACTATTTCCATATCTCATTTTTCCTACTGGGTTGTGTACTCAAATCATGACATGGAGACAGACTTCATATTTATATGAATGTTTGTCCTGGCTTAGGCTAGCTCTTTTTTAACTTAAATTAACCCGTTTCTCTTCATCTACCTTTTGTCTCAGGGCTTTTCGTTTTTCTGTACATCTTACTTTCACTGCTCCTTGTGTCTGTCTGTCTGGAGACTGCATGACTTCTTGCCCCTCCCTTTCTTCCTCATTCTCGTCTCCTCCTCCTTCTTCCTCTCATTCTTCTTTCTCTCTCAAGCCTAGATTTCGCCACCTGTTTATTTTCTCAACCTGCCAATCCTGTGCATCTTTTCTCAAGTCTAGCCATTGGCTGTTCAGCTTTTCATTAGAACAATTGGGCACTTTAGGCAGGCAAGGTGAAACAGATACAGCACATCTTTCCATAATCAAACACACAACCTTACATCGCTACACAAATGCAGCGTAAACACATGCAACACATCTTACACAGCTAAAGTAGCATCCTGCAGCATAAACACATGCAACACTTTTCATAGTTAAAGTGTTGAGCAACAGGGTGTGATTTGATAGACACGTTTTAGAATGCATGCGCATTCCTATTGGATAATAACTGTCACTGACGGAATTTGCTGCATCTTTCCCCAGACCCTGGGTTATCCTTGTTTCACTTGTTTTTAACAGTCTCCTAAAAATGCACAGCTTTTTTTCAAAAAAATTAAATTTATTCTCTCACATATTACATTCTGACCCTAGTTTCCCCTCCTTCCTCTCCTCCCCCTCCCCCACCCATTCCTCCATTTCTCTTCAGAATGGGGCAAGCCTCCTAGGGACATTAACCAAACATGGCCTATCAATTTCCAGTAAGACAGGCTGGAGAGGTGACTCAGAGGTTAAGAGCACTGGCTGCTATTCCAAGGTCCTGAGTTCAATTCCCAGCAACCACATGGTAGCTCACAACCATCAAAAATGACATCTGTTGATCCCAGCACTCGGGAGGCAGAGGCAGGCAGATCTCTGAGTTCGAGACCAGCCTGGTCTACAGAGCTAGTGCCAGGACAGGCTCCAAAGCCACAGAGAAACCCTGTCTCGAACCCACCCCCCCCCCAAAAAAAGAGAGAGAGCTGGTGCCCTCTTCCGGACTGAAGCCATACAGAATGCTGTATACATTTAAAAAAATATTCCAGGAAGACTAGGCACCACCTCTCTTGCTAAGGCTGAATGAAGTGACCCAGTGGTAGAGAAAGGATCCCAAAAGCAGGCAAAAGAGTCAGAGATAGGCCCTACTCCCCCTGTTGGGAGTTCCACAAGACCAAGGAATACAACCATAACATGTACTGCAGAGGGCCTACGTCAGAACCATGCAGGCTTCCTTTCACAGCAGGGTTTCTCTGTACAGCCCTGGCTGCCCTGGAACTCTCTGTAGACCAGGCTGGCCTCGAACTCACAGAGACCCATCTGCCTCTGCCTCCTGAGTGCTGGGATTAAAGAAAGGCATGTACCACCACCACCTGGCATAGTTTTTTTTTTTTTTTTTTTTCTGAAAACAGTCAAAGGTATTATTTTCTTTTTGGCTTATAAGCCAAAAAGGTAGGGAAGCAATTCCTTCCTTACCCCAAATTTAAAACAACAACCTAATATTTTCTTTTAAACTTGTTCACATTCTGCTAGACAAATTCTGTTCTTTTATCTGGAATTGCTCTGCACATACGAGGTGAGAGAGACTTGAATGTATATTTTTCCTAGTGTGAACTAGCTACCCAATACACGACGCAAAAGTATTTTCTCTTCCTTTCATTTATGCCTCTGTTGGCATGGCAACACTGTTTTCTAAGTTCAGACCAATAACATCTCTTCACTTTGGCTATTCTTGGTTATTGACTCTTTTATATAAATATTTGACATCCGCATGTTTCATAAAAAGACCCTTTCAGGATTGTGTTAGGAACTGCCCTGGATTTTTAATGAGCCGTGAGTCTTCACAAGGGAGGCTCAAGGCACTGGCATGCTGGGCCGGAAAAGGACTCGCGGGTTGTGAAACGGTGAGGGGAACAGAGTTTGGGCTAAAGGAGTTGCTTAAAAGTGAGGATAAGGCTTGGTATAAAAATGCTGGGGTGGTTGTTTTCTTTTTATAGATCGCCCTATCCTTTATGATAAAATGATTCTTTTCCTTCTTGAATGGGGAAGGGGCTTTTCACATGGGAAGCAAGCAGGTAGGCAGGCAGGAAGCTAGGTGGACAGTGGAAATGCAAGAGGGGGGGCGAGGGGCGGGGCAAACAGGCAGGCGGGCGGGCGGGCGGGGCGATGAGGGGCCGGGCAGGCAGTCACTAATCTGGTACCTGCCCTGTACGTTCTGGCAGGGCGTATTCCAGAACGGCACATTCTTAATTCTTTAACCACAAGAGAATTCTGTCTAAAAGTTGCTGCTTCTGAAAATTAAACAGATTTGAAAAGCGGCGGCAGAGCTGGTGGCACACACTCATAATCCCCGAATTTAGAAGGTAGAAGAAGGAAATTCAAGGGCAGTTCTGGCTGAGTGAGTGTTAGGATAGCCTGGGCTACAGAAGACTGTTTGGAAAAGAAGACGCAAATATTTAAAATATTTTTAAATCAGGAGAAGGCCAATGAATGTAATAAAAAAAAGCTATAGGAAAACATTCCAGGGGCTCAAATATGGAAAGGGAGAGGCTCACATCAACCCACAACATAAAATACAATCATAAGCTGCACACATGGTAGCAGTTCGTGAAAACTGTTTCGTCAAAAACACCACCATTCCTTTTATTAAGACAGCACCAACTCCAACTTCACTGGTATTTGTAGTTTCATTACTTTAGAGAAATAATAAGTTCCAGGGGCTTAAACTACATCAGTGGTTGAATTTGTATACATCTTAGAACATAATAATAAAAACAATAAACGTCAACACTTGTGGGGTGTCCTTGATTTTCTCTGAAAAACACATCGTTTCCCATAATACCCCCACTAGCTAACTGCCAGAGGAAATTGCTTAGAGCTGCTTCAGGGTGCTCTGTGATCCCATCTTGCTGGCTCCTTGGCTGACTTTCATCCCCCAGGCTCCTGTAGGCCGAGTAAAACGGACAGTTTTGGGGTTGGTTTCTACCTACATTCCCTTTTAGGGAGTCGCTGCGCTCGGTGGCTTTCAGAAGCTCTAAATGGTGGGCTTCAGCCCTCAAAAGTTTCCAAAGCCTGAATCATGCTCCCTCGCCTTCTCTCCACCCTGCCTGGGGCCTCTAGGCTTCCAGCCTTGCCTGCTGGTCCAAACTAGTCTTCCAGACTGAGTCTGGGGTTCTGGGTGTTTAGGAACAGGCCTCAGGGACCTGCATTTTAATCACTATTGAAGTCT